ATGAATGTTGAATTATTTCAAATTTGGTTTTTACTTTTTGAGACTTTTCAAGAAGATTCTTAGATATTTACTGAAAGTGAAAATTTTGGTATGCTGCCAATAGACACTTAGTGTTTTATGATTTAATTGTGTCAAAATTTTTAAATAATTTTATGAGCCACAAAATAAAGTTATCTAATATTTATAAACTTTCTAGATAATTGGGAGTTGGCAGAAAAGTTACCTCAAAATATTTTATCACAGATCCATACATGTGTAATGTCACATAGAAAAAAAAAGAGGGTAAAAATCAAATCATAAACATTTACAAAAAAAAACAAACAACTAAATAAAAAAAAGAGTCAACAACATTTCTGTGTGTAAGAAATTGTCCCTGCGACATATATCTTTGGAAATTCAATTATTTAAAATATTCTATCACTACAAGTCTCAAAATCAAGTAAATCTCAGACAAATTATAACTCACCTTCTCCCATTTAAATCAAACACTATTTACCTCTTAGCCATCTCAGCAGGTAGTAGTCATCATGATGAGATTTTAACAGCTCTTCAACATTTTTCCTAAACTAAGAAGAGTTAAGTTAATGTTAGTTGTTATCCTAAGAGGAAATTTTATGCCTATAACCAAGAAAAATAGTTTTCCCAAACCATCTATTGAGAAGCCAGACAAAAATGCAAGAGGATAATGGGGGAGTGAGTGGGAGGAACATCATATACATAAATAATGTTGTTTGTCCTATGCATGCAAAGATAACCACTGCAGTTTTCGGCTTGAATAGGAGCTTGCTCAATTCGTCAGCCTCACTCTATCATTCATGCTTATTTGATCCTATGACTTGGTCAGGACGACTTTTCTTAAATGAGTTGGCATCCAAGGTTTAACGAATCCCATCCACCATGTTTGCTGGCGATGTTTTTGCTTGTCTTAGGTGATTAAACTCCAGTCCACTAGCTTGGAATTGAATCAGTTTAGACTGCTAGGCCACCCAACCACCCATGAATAAATAAGAGACACAATGTCTTGGGGATCTTATTTTTAAAAAAAAATATTGAAGTGACTTAAAACAAGATTCTATTCTAAAATAATAATTTATTTACAGAATAATTTTAAACATTTATTGAGATTTAATAAAAAAATATTCCCAGCTGCCCATGGTATTACCAAATAGTGACATATTTTCAAATTACTACAATGTTTATAAATACATAAAATGAAATTTCACTTCAAACAAAAAATAAAAAATCTCACTTCTGCTAGAGCGCATTCCTGTTTTTCACTCAGAGAACCAACATGCCCACTCATATTTGATCAGAAATGCAGAAAATTATGTACTGGGTAGTTCCTAATAATTCACACCTGTGAAATGATGAAAGCCACATAAAATATTTTTAAAACTAATCATGCTTATCTTCTGTTTATTTTTCTCCAATTCACAACAAACTGGGAGATAATATAAGAGATTGTGTAAACCAATCCAAAATGATTGTCAAAGCAATTAATTTTGACCAAAAAAAATTGCAGCTAATTTTTTTGCTTCATTTAAAATGGTAGATCTAATATATTTCATAAACAACACACAAAAAAAACATTTCCTCCAAAGTGACCAAAGACTGTTATAAAAAGCTTTAATTAATCCCTATTTATTAAAGAAAGAAATACAAATAATGATGAATAAGGGACCCAGCATCTTATCTGAAGTTAAATTATTCAATTAGTCTGTTGCTTCATGTCTTAATTGCTAGAAACTTTTAAATATTATTAAAGGAGACACAGACTAATTCAAGAGGAGAATGAATAACTAACCATGTTGCCAGTCAATTTTTATTCATGCTAATTTGATATGCACCCACAAATTACAGTCCTCAGAAAGGTAAAAATCAACTCAACAGATAATTACCCCTTTCACAGGACCTTTAGTTTACGTAATAAGATTAAAATAAGTTACACACTTTGTAAAGAGTGATCTTATTTTTGTTATTGTCACGATAAGAGATAGGCCAATGTTGTTATGCAACCTATTGTTGATTTAATTTATCTAATCTAAAAGAAAATACACTGAATTTGAGTAGCTATCTTGAAAAGCAATTATTTTTCCACTTTAAAATTACTATAACAATAATTGAAATAAAACATTTCACATTTATGTTTTAATAATAATAGGGACTACGCTTGAAGTACAAGACCTGTGGGGTGGTGAATAATTAACATACTTTACTTACTAGTAGTAGTGGTATTTAATATGCCTAATGATAGTCCATGTAGTTGGATGGATGAAGTAACAAAAAATAAGTGAGTGGACTTGAGTTTAAACCGATCCCATCTGGATATTAAAATTACAGTTCTAAAATCATTGATTCAATATGTTATTGGTATTTGGCTAGAAGTTTTTAGTGAAGTACATTGATAAGTTATTCTAAATTACTGCACTCTCTGCAATGAAACTTGGCCTGATATTTATAATATCTTAAAAATGTAGGTCTTGGGCCTACTAATACTAGTAATTTTTATATTAGATAAAGAGCTATTTTGAGTCTAAATTATTTTATAATATTTTTAAATTAATAGTCACATAGGCCTATAGACTACAGTCTATAGCAGTGATAGCAAATGTAAAGCATGCATATCCCTCCCTGTGGACTGACTAACAAAAGGCACATAGTATAGGGGCCATACATTCTGTCTGAAAGGAATGGCAGCGCAGATTTATCGGTCTACTGTGTGTTAAAAAATTAATGCCCTAAGTATGAGCCAATGTTGGAATAATTATCAGCATGAATAAAACAGTGGAGATCACACATTAATTGTACAGAAGCAACCCAAATGCAAACTTATAATAAATAAGCCTCGGCCTTGCTGTTTGTGTTATTGAAAGCTGTATTATTGTGGTTTTTTTTTCAAGGGGCCATCTATAATCTATAAATGATGTTATGCATCTAGGTAGGTCGGGGGGTCATGAATTTATGACCATATATTATGTGGGTGTCTATTGTGTGATGAATTTGTGACCATGAGGGGTCTAAAGTGTCTGTTAAAATTAAAATCGTGTGATGTCATTTAAATATTGGCCCAATGACATAGGGACAATATGACATCACACTAGGCCATAAAGGAGATAGGCTATGCTACTATGTCCTATGACAAACAATGTTAGGCCTACAAATAGTGGGCTGGTATACTTATGTATTCTCAGGTTAAATTGCAGTGTTGACACTTTGTGATAAATAAGTAGGTACTTTTCAATTTATGGATTGCAGTTTCCTGAATATGGGTTGGGTGGGAAATCAATACTGGTCAGGGCCATGCAGAGGATTTTTGGGTAGCAAGGATATCTGTATTTTGCCCTTCCCCCCAATCCAATTTAATAAAATAATTATATTTATATCAAACAAATGTATCAATTTCCGCTCCAAGCGGGCTGGCCCTGATTGATTTACTGGGGGCTCTGGGCCTCTGCAGGGCCCTGATAATTAATATTATTATAGTCTATTTATATTTACTACATAAACTACATTGCAGTAATTATTTAAGTAAATTTAGTCTTCCACTCTAGTATGCCCTTATTGTCATGCCTTATACTTATGATGCTGTTGTCAGATTGTGATTTTTTTATCAAACTAAACCAACACCAATTTAAATAAGTTAATTTTAATTATAAATATATTTTCTAGTTAAATAATTAGTACCGTAATAGTACTAAAAGTAATGCTGTCTAATAGTAATAGTAATAGTAATTAGGCAATCCTCCGAAGTTGGGTCCCAAATTATTTCCATTGATTACTCTTTACTTAAAAGTCTTAGGTATCATTTTCTTTGAAATTCACGTTTGCGGTAGTGGATGATGTTGGATGGAGGTTGTTGGCCGTCGAGATGCACAAACACTCGAGCGCATTATCACTAATCAAATGTTACCATGGACAACTATCGTCACGGACGCTTGGCAAGGATATCAAAATGTCGGTCAGCTCAACAACGGGATTTATGCTCAAACTGTCATGTGCACGCACAGGAATTTGTTTATCCAGTAGACCAGGACATTCACACATAAACTATTGAAGGACTTTGAATGCAAGCGAAATGTTAACTCCGTTTTCAGAGTGGTACTAGTCGGGGTCTGTTTGCCAGCTACTTGGGGGCCTTTCAAATAATACACACTGTGCACTGCAATTTTTTTCATACGAAATAATTTGGGATAGACTTCGGAGGGTTGCCAGTAATTAGTAATACTTTAACTTAAACTACCTTGGCTGAAATACGACTACTGAATACTACTAAGCTATGCTATCCAAACGCGGGTTACAATTAGAATGTTGACAGGTAAAAACATAATAAAAAAATAGCCATAATATCTGCTAAGTCATACTTCCGATAATTTTTTTTTTCTAATCTTGATAGGCTTCAGCTTGAGAACTTGTGTTACGTTAAATTATGACTACAATCTCCATCACACCATCGGTTTGCGTGAAACTCTTCTTTCTAATAAGTCATTTATAGTTTTATGAATAAATAGAATGATTGGTGGACTTTGACCCACTTACTACCACAAAGTCTTCCGTTGTGTCCAGTGTTTATTTACCTTATCAACCACCCAAATCTCCTTACTCATTTATTTTGTTAGCACGAAAAAATTATAAGAATTACCAATTCTTTAATTATTTCGCAATATTCTTTTGTGCGTTGATATTGAGTTGAGCAATGTGATTTTTTTTTTCATTTTGAAGTCTCTTAAATAAAAAAAAATTAAACCTTCAACTACAACAACCCCCGCCCCCGATTGTTTTGCAGTGTGACAAATTATGGTGATTATATTTGGCACCTTATTTTATTTACTTCACATCCTGCTTGTTTCGTTTTCTTATCTTCAACTTAGGACTTAGCCAGGTTAACGCCCCCATTGTAGCTAATCTATTTTCTTTTGGATGCAGCGAACGAAAAGACGCGTGGTACAATTTAATATTAAAAAAATTGAAGCGTGCTGTTGCATTTTTCTTCGTTAGTAATCACCGAGACTGAGTTAGCTTTAGAGACATTAAATAGAGATAGTGATAGACCTGACTTAGTCGTAGCAAGAGAAGATTTATTTTAATCATTTTATTTGACACTCAGACTTGGATTTCACAATAAAATATAACTATTAACTATTTATTAAGTGTAAACTGATATTATATTATATGGTACCAACTTTCAGTAAGTTTCATGACACGCCATTTCATTTTCACAGATCAGGTGACTTGTGCCCATGAAAGTAATTGCAAACAACTACAACAAGTATTAGTATATCGCCAACTGAAATTCTAATTCCACGTTTTTTTAGGAATAAAAAGCAACTAATTTTATTGAAATGTTTCCTGTACAAAGAATGAAATTACATCATCCACCTTTGACTGAGGTTGCAGAAGGTAAATAAATAGCTATTTTTGTTCCATATTTAATGTTATAATTTATTTAATTAATGTAGATCTAGGCTAGGTTAAATTATTACTTATTACGGTTAATAACCAAGTAGGGCTAAGGCAAGGTATACCCGGTATCTAATTTTGCTTTTGAAAGGTGTTCTGTCTCTCCTTCATTAATTTACTTGAGGACAATATTTATTAATCTATTTAGTAATTAATTTTAAAAACAACAGTTAAATTATAAAAAAAAAAAAAACAAGTAGTCTTTTAGGCATATGCCTATATGATAAATGTCTATATAGGCCTATTATTTATAATATGTTTATAAATATATTATATCTTTGTTTATGTACTTTTCAGTGCTAAGGAAAGGTTTGGAAAAGAATTTCAGTTCTGTTGAAGTAAATGTTGCAGACTGTCCAGACCTGACTAAACTACCTTTTGATTTGGCAGACACAGGTACAGTAAACATTTTTTTACTCCAAAGTTCTTACAGGGATTTTTTTTCTTAAATATATCACTTAGGCGTAATTCTGGCTTTCATTACTCTATTAATATACTACTATCCCAGCTTCAGCTACTATTGTTTTATTGCATACACCTTTGCACTAAGGTTCAAGGACAATTTTTAAAACATATTTGGAACTGTTTCGTACTGTTAAAAAGGTATTTATTTTTAAAAATAAAATGTTACAGTTATTTATAATAATGGCATTAAGGCAGGCTAACTAAAATCAAGTTGATTTATATACATCATCAAATGCAGAGAATTTATTCAATATCTATACCATGAAAAGAATTTTTAACACACGGTTAAACATTGACAGTTGAATAATTTGCAGTAATAATGGTTTTACATGAAAATATTCATGTTGTGTATTTAGGCTTATTTCTCATAATTTTGTATTTATCAAATATGTGACAGTTAAAATAAAATAATAAGTTACTTCTTGAATGACATTATTTAATGACATAAAGAGGTCACCTACATTTATAAGTTTTATGGATGTGTTATGCCTTTTCGACCTCAGAGATAACATAAGTTAAAAGGGTAAGAGTACTATGGTACTTATTTTTTTTTTTCCTTGTGAGTTGAATTGACTGTTGAATAACACAGTGCTTGGCATAGTTAGTTCATGACTTATTATTATCAAATCAACTTACCACTGTCATACTTTTTAAAAGGGGAAATGGTTATAAAAAGTGTAAGATGAAAAAAAGACACCTTCCAACAACTTTGCCTGCATTGCTCATTCAGTTGATCCTTATGTGAAGGATAGTCAAATTCCACAAAGGATTCATGTTGCCTAATTTTCCTTAATGATTAATGACTTTCTCTATAACAACAGGATTATATTAGGAAATAAGTTTATTTTTACATTTTAAAATAAAATTAGGTATCTCTGGTCAGCCCCGCATCGTGGATGTTGGTGGAGTGGACTACCTCAAGCCACTACCACAGAAAAATAAGGCAAATGAATATCTTATTTATCTGTTTAAATAAATCCTAAAACTTGTGATTCAAGGTATACAAATATTTGTGTTTAAATAGACAATTAGAGTATGTTAGTTAATACAAAAATAATATTTAAATATTAAAAAATTGTAGAAATAAAAGTTAGAAACTGATCACCTGTGTAAATGTTGAGAGATCTAAGGGAATGATAAAACTTTTCTGTGACCTTCATTTACTTTTTTATTTAAATTCAATTGGTTTATGAACGGATAAAACATTTTTGGAGCCATTAAATAATATAAGAAAGTTTTTTAAAAAATAACAATCTTTTGGCTTACCAATATATTAAATATCATATGTTTTATAATTTTAATCAAATTTTTAAACTTTAAATTAATAAGTTCTGATTTTTTAAAATTATTGCTTTATATAGTCATACCTGAAATTGTATTTTGCATATAAGATTGTTTTTAAAATTGTCATATAATTTAGGGACCACACATAGAATGATGTCATGCATCTAGGGAAGGGGAGGGGATCACATATTTGTAATAAGGGTGTATAGCTTTATGTTACAAATTTGTGATGATGAGGGGAGGTTAAAAAATATGCCTTAATAAGGTGACATCATTTATGGATGGCCCCTTAAAACCAAACTTTGCTTCTATACTAATAAATATTAAAAGTCATTACGAATCTCATATACCACTACATTTTCATACTAATTTTAAAAGATTTCACATCAGCTAATTGTATGAAAGCAAACACATTTTTATCAGTGTAAGTTCATTAGCCAATACATAATTTGTTCTTAAGATATTATAGCAGCCAGCCCATGCTAAAAAAATAATATGAATGTTACAATATAAAACATAATCTTTGTTGGCAATTGTAAACATACATATATATATTTTTTAAATAGATATATGATTTTAAAACCATTGCTGAGCTCTCAGAACTGCCAGACTCTTTTATAATGGGAGCGGGTGCTGGGCCTCATCACAAAGCTAAGGTCAACTGTGAGTTGATGTGCAATGCTAAGCTGGGTCAGAATGCAGTCAATAAAACTAGGATAGCCAAAGTTAATGAGAAGGTGAGATGGAGTGTCAAGATTAATTTTCTGTGCACAACCTTAAAAAATTATTATTTAAAAAAAAAATTGTTTCACTTGAAATATTTAATGTAGAAATTACATTTTTAAGGTGTGTAGTTTTGTTTTACTATTACCTTTTTCTTGACTTTATGAAGAAAACTACTTTGATATTTTATCATTAATAAAACTGAAGATCATTTAAAGTATATGGTTCAGATTTAAATGCTTTCTTAAAATATTTGAAATTTAAAAAAAAAAATATTATTCCAGATATATTGAAAGATAACTTTTATATGTTCAAAAAGCATTGCATTACTGTTGTTGTTTCTTTTCAATTTTGTTAATACTTCATTTATGTAGCAGGATATTCATGGTAACTGTTTTTTTTAAAATTAGAACTTGTTTGCAAGTTGAAAGAATTAAATTAGTTTTAATCTGTTTTCCAGAATGGTTCTTATATATTAGAGGAGGATTCTTCAGGAGAATTCAGCCTAATGGGAAACTTTCTTATTAGTGAAGGAAAACCAGGAAAGGTAATTTTTAAAAAATCAGGTACCATAGTCCATAATTTACTTAAAAACAACAAGTTACATCGTAGACCCTATGACATAGTGGTAATTTTGTCTGCCTTTCATTGGAGAGGAAGCAAGTTCAAATCCGTCCAGGGTTGTCTCCAGCTATCAGTAACTATTCTTCGGGGAGTGAAACAACCTCAATCAGCGAAGTTGGAGCACAGCAGTTTATCAAAATTCTACTGAAGAATGCCGGTAGGCTTAACAGTAAAGTCACTGCTCTTGGAATTAAAATCCAGAACAAACAAAAATAAACAGAGGCTCTAGTCATGTTATCTTAGAGTAGCAGCTATAATTTTCAGTAAAGGAAAAGCATTTGTACACAGAGCAAAATTTAGAATTATTAATAATAATAACGTTTATTTGAAAATCACGCTTCATCCCCAAAGGCTCGAAGCGCGTTAGAAAGTCAACCACATTGAAAAAGAAATGAACAAGTATATCTATATTATACCACAGTGAAATACAAAATGCAACATACAAAGACTAAATACGAGAATACCCATTCTAAGTCTTTCATCCCTTGCAACCATAAATAACACAGACCGATATAAATCTAGGAGATAATAGCTAGCTTGAAAAGATGGTAGACAACATCACTCCAGCAGGTGTTTGGGAAATAGATGTGTTTTCAAATCGGTTTTGAAAGACTCCGGTGTCTGTCTGTTTCTAAAAGCGACAGGAAGTGTGTTCCGAATTGTTGTATCAGCAAATGCGAAAGTGCGCCTTCTGTAAATCTCAAGACGAACATGTGGTATTGAGAGTTTGCCACCATCAGATGAGCGGAGTTGTCTAGTGGGTACATGAGTTGTCATGAGCGCTTTGAGATAGGACGGTTCCAGGTCATGCAAGCAGCGGCAGCACAGAGTTGCAATTTTGTACACTATGCGAGCGCGGACCGGCAGCCAATGCAACTCTCTCAGAAGTGTTTTAGCATGGTCAATATTGCGTTTGCGAGAAACAATGCGAGCCGCATTATTGAGTCCTCTACGAAAAATTTACAACCAAAAAATGTCACTTTTGAGGGGTGTACATTGTTTTTAATGTAGGATTAAATTTGAATTAACAGAAAAGAATAAAAGTTATAAGTAAATTTTATATTTCATTTTAATGCATGCTTTCCTGATTTTAAACTTAATAATTTTAATAACATTTTCTAGCTTTCAGTTTGTAAAGAAAATAATATTTTTCATGGGCTTAATTTTTTTATACTTTTTATAAGTTACACAATTCATTTCTCTAACCACAGGTTCTTGAAATTAAAGCGAAAAATAGGATAGGGGGAGAGAATTTTGTTTCATGTCTTCATAAAACTTTGACTGCCCATTATGGGGATCAAGCTGTTGGTCTAGGAGGCACCTTTCTTCTTCAGACTGGCAAAGCCAGCATACATGTGATGGTATGTATACATCTTCATGAATATCATTTTTTTTTCTGTCTAAAAAACACTCCTTTTAATATAATATGGCTTGTTGTAGACTTGTGGTGATTGCTAGAGTTATGTCCCTCATTAACAAATGGAATAGCAAGTATATTTTATATTATAAAATAATTCTAGAAAGACTAATCAACCTTTATAAAGGGAAATATGTAGCATAAGGTAAAAAATATTTATGAAAATTCCTAATGTTTATATAAAAACAAATCTCGCAGTCTTTGACTGAAACAACTTGATAAGTTAATGTATATTTACCGGCTGACTGGTTAATCTTATGATCAAGGCCCACCATTTTTCTTATTTTACCTCTTAAAATCAATGTGTCTTTTACTGTTGATTTTAACTAACATTTTTTATAATCTTATGGTGAATATTGCAGCCAGACTTTTCTGCTACACCAATTATCACAGATGCAGAAACAGATCATTGGCTCAAGTTCTATGAGATGGATGCTCCGTTGATCCATGTGGGTGAAATAGTGTCAGCTGATCCAGAGGTTAGTGTATATACCAGACCTGTTTACTCTTACGATTTCGGCGTACAATGTACGATTTTGAGGTGTATACATTATATATCCTGTAATGTTTATTTTTTTACTATTATGATAATGTATTGAATGATTTTGTGATGATATTGTACGATTTTAAGAGTTTGAGGGTAAACAGGTCTGATATACTCCTGTGAGGACTGTCGATAAATATTTTAATAATTTTTATCACATCACTGACATCACTGTATTAAAAAATGAATTTCAGCAGAATCTATAAATAATTATTGAAATCACAATTTAAATATATTAGAAGGCCATTTATCTTAATGTTTAAAATATAGAGTTAAGTAATGTATAAATTCTAGTTTGTCAAAATTGCTTGAAAAAATTATGTATGGTTTTATAACTAGCATCTATAATAACCAGCACTTATGAGAAATTTAGGTACCAAATACTAGCAAATATTTCAGAATGTTGTATTATGTAAAGTTAATTAAACTTAATAAATGAGGATCTTAAAAATGTAAAATAAATCTTTGATGACATATTATATAAAGACAGAGGATACAAATTTTTGTCTAACACTGAATAATTATGTTCCAGAAACTCCATCTCCGCCAAGAACATTTCCACTGTTTTAGCCATCATGGACAAGGAGGACATTACCACTATGATACAACACCCAATGATGCATCTTATCTGGCATATTTCAATGTGGCTGAATCTCTTTACCGCATCGATCTGCCAGATAATAGAAATTTCGTTTTTTGAATTGAACTGAAAGTAAAATATCTTTTGGAAGTATTTCTGATCTTATGAATAACTTTTTTCGTGCAAGGAAAATAATTCTTAAAAATCAACTCATTCATAAACCAAAATATCCTTTTAAACATCAGTAAAAATAAGATCCTCTAGTCATTTTACAATCATGCATTGTATTTGTATTGTTTTATAAACTGTTGTTCTTTTTAAAGTAACTTGATTTATTTAATCACAATATATAAACAGATTTTCACATTTTTATTTCTAAGTCACAGATTTAGAGATTTCCATTCTTATTCTCTACTTACAAGTGTTACATTTACTTTTCTTTGTGTCTCATTCTTTTATTTACATTAAAATCTCTTGTTATATTTTTTGAAACATGCTTTTTACTGCATTGTTCCTCCAAATTGGTCAAAACTTTATATACTTTGATGTCACTGCACAAGACTAGTGTTGTGCAGTATTAACATTTTTTTTTTCCAAAATGGAAACAGTATTAAATATTGTGTAATTTAATCAGAAACATTTAGTCAAGATTAATTGACCTACTGTATTGCTACATTCTTACAATGATGATAATAAAAATATGAAGTGTTTAAATATTAATTAGGGTAATCATTTATGTTTTTTTTTAAAAATCCAGTGCATTCTACCTGATTACGAGAATTATATATGCTTACATTAAAATTAATATCAATTCTTATTTTGCATCAATTATTTCTTTAAAAAGGTGGCAAGTGTCATAAAAACCTTTGAATCCAACAAATTCATTATTGTTTTTCATATCACATTAACATTTCTGCTGTTGCTCTACTGATATCAATTTATATTTGTTCCACTGAGATTAAATTTCTTGTTGTATTCAATAATGAAATAAAATTTATTATATACACCATATATCCAGGGTATATTGTTTTATTTACACTAATTGTGTCTAATTAATCTAATTTAAAGCTTTATGGCAGTCCAACACTCTTATAAAATATATCCATCTTGTCTTATCCATTTGTAAATGTTTTTTAAAAATCATAAAAAGTAGCTGCTGGGGATGTTAATCAATGAACAGAAATTTTAGAAAGGATCATTGCAGTTTATCCTCTATTCACATTTAAATTACATACACTGAATTCATATATTTAATGATGACATCGTTTAGATTATTTATTTATCTAGGCATTTTTATATAGCGCTTACCTTAAAGCTCTAAGCGCTTTACAATTATTAAAAACATGTAAACTAAGTAAAATAAAAATGAGACACTAGGATAGTAACTACTATACTAAAGAAACAATTAAAATGGCTATAAAACGAGGACACTTTGGCACGTTTTGGCCTATACTACAGGATCAACCCGAGACAGAAAATGAGGCAGGGCAAGGAGGGTGCATCACAGGTCATAGGCGGACTTAAACAGATGGATTTTAAGGGACTTTTTGAAAGTGGATGAGGTTTCACAATGACGGATAAACTGAGTCAAGTAGATTTATCAAAGTGCTAACTAATGGTAATTTTAAAAAATCTAATAATGAACTTGTCTTAAAAAAAAATCTAGATTCCATGATATGGAGTTTTCTACAGTCATTAGTATCCTCAATCTACCATTTTCTTGTGGCTTCAAATATATTTTGTTAGCAGTCTCATAAGAAAAGGGCAATATATTTGCCGATGATGTTGGAAAGATTTTGAATGTTATATCAGTCTATACTTTGTGTGTTTATGTCAGGGGAAAGCTCCCTTAGTCTTTGACTTTCTGAAGAAGAAATATTATATGGATCCTACACAAGAAGAGGGCTGGGAATCGAAACCTGGCTTGCAGTTTTCTTTTCTGGCTGTGTGCATGGTACTGAAGAGTATACTTTACTGGTTGCAGTGTGTTTAAATGTATAAGGCTTTTTTTTTTAAATGCAGCTACAATTTTGTTAACACAATCAAATTTTATACCACATGCCCTTTAAATCTAAAACACAAATAAAACCACCACATTAATTTTGCTGGATTGAATTGTTACGTGAAAGGACATTTGGTATAATATGACTAATAACAAATCATAAAATAAACACTCTTTGTTTTGGTAATCAAGTGGGAGCAAACTAATTCTTCCTTCTGTGGCTCCTCTGTTTCCAAAAAAAATAAATTTTTAATTAATTAATGCCATGTGATCAATGGTGTACTGTAGAAGATTAGTGAATTCATATATAAAGTTTATAAAGAATTGGTGCTTTGTGCTTTCTGTAAAAATCAACTCCCATCAGCTTAATGATGGGTCTGGCACGCTGAATCACCTTAATAATATCAATAATGGATTTTAATTAACTTGAAAAATGTCTGAGGAATTTATAACTAGCTATAATTTTAAAGAAATCATACCTGAGAAGAGTATAAAATCCAGTCTATGTTGATATGATGCATCCACACAAGTCTTTGAAAGTCTTTACTCTAAGAATTAAGCTATTCTTTAATTTTAATAGCTAAAATACAAACATAATTTAATTTATATTTACTCATAATAATTAATTTTGAATAAAATTTCATTTATTAATGGGGTTAAAGGCTTACTTTTAATTAAATGTTTACATTTATAAAATGGTTTCACGTGCCAATAGGGTGATACGATTCTAATTAATCTAATAAGCTGGACGTATCGATAGACAAATCTCCCCCCCCCCCCCTTTTTTTTTTTTTTTTTTTTCAACTTCGAAACTTTCATGCAACACTCAGTCTTTACCTGAATCATGCGACAATGTTTATTTGAACAGCAGTTCGTTCATTTATTATCCCTAAAGCTGCTGAAGTAATATGTTTCGATTACTATATTTTTTTTTTTTTTTCAACTTCGATACTTTCATGCAACACTCAGTCTTTACCTTAATCATGCGACAATGTTTATTTGAACAGCAGTTCGTTCATTTATTATCCCTAAAGCTGCTGAAGTAATATGTTTCGATTACAATAGTAAGAAATTGCAACTATGAAGACGTTTAAATTATTAGTGCATAACAACAAATCTAAAAGTAAGTTATACTATTAAAAATTAAAACTGTTACTATTAATAATTAACTATTATTAATATTATTATTAATTTATTATTTAAAATTTATTAATAATAATAGTCACTGGCTACTAGTCAATAAGTCAGTTTTAGTCTTACTCCTAGTCTTTAGTAACCTTTATTTTGGCTAGGTTATGCATAGTGCCCATAATTTAAACGAAGTGGAGTTGGAATAATCAATAATGTGAAGAGATAGCACCTGACGACACTGACACTGATGTCATTAGCACCTGACGACACTGACACTGATGTCATTTGCGTGTTTTCTGGTTCCAATCAATAGGGTCAAAACCCAGGTTAGGGATAAGTTTGGGGTTCAGGTTAGGTTTAGGGATAAATTTAGGACATAAGTTAGCGGGTCGCGGCAAACGAGGTGCTATCTCTTCACATTTACCGACCAGAGTTGGCCTAAGCCTAGGCCACAGGACTTCATGAATGAATCATACACAGACACAATAATTAATGGCTTTCCATAATTAATAATTAAATAATTATTAGGCTGTAGCAGTGTCTAGAGTTAGAATAGTTAATTAGAGGGTAGTGTTTGTGACAGTGAGTTTTTCATTTTCACTTTAGTCACAATTTTGTGATTTTTGTGTGATAAAATTGTCTTCCTGTTAAAAATTTGTGGCAATTTTTTTTTTTTTTTGGGGGGGGCCCTTATGCCTTATTATGCCTTATTATTATTTATTATATTTAACTATTTGACATGTCATACTATACTATTACTATCTTTCTGTTCCGTAGGCCTACCTAACAACCATTTAACGAATTAATTTTTTGTAATTTTTTTTTTTTTTTGGGGGGGGCCCTTATGCCTTATTATGCCTTATTATTATTTATTATATTTAACTATTTGACATGTCATACTATACTATTACTATCTTTCTGTGCCGTAGGCCTACCTAACAACCATTTAACGAATTATGAATATACTATTTGAAATTTTAAAATTCTTTAAAGCTCTGAATATACGAAAATTGATGCTGTAAGTGACAAAATATGGCTTAAGTCTTAAGACACCTAAGTAGCATAGTAATAGTAATTTTTTTTAGAATAGCCATAATAGTTTCTGTGATAGCATTAGGGGCTGGGGAATATTCAGAGACCTCTTCTGTCATTTGTGTTCAAGATGTTTAGTTAGACAATGTGTATGATTAATTAAATTAATATTTGATAAAAATATTATTTTTAGATATCTTCATTAGTATTATTGAAGTGTTACACTTTTTTTTTTTTTTTTAACATAATTTAATTGTTCATCAGCCACAAATTAAAAACTCTCCTAATAATTATGCCATTTCATTATTTTAATTGAGGCTACACTAGTTTTGTCCATTTGCATGCAATTTATAAAAAGTACATGAACAAATCAATTAAATGTTTTGATTTGTGAAATGCAAAACAATACTATCCCACAGGTCAAGATATCTTGATATCTGCCAAAGATTTCCCTGATGTTAAGGCTGGGGATATTTTAGAAATATATCATCCAGATGATGAATGGACGTAAGTATATGAAATTAGTAGCTTTTGGTGTGTTCAATAGCTTGTAAATGATTATATTAATGTCTAATTAAGAGTCTGTGTTTTAATTTTTTGAAAAGTGATATTTTTTGCATATAAAATTATTTAACTCATTACTATTAATAAGACTTGCTTTTTTTTCCTTTTCCACAAAGTTAATCCTCTAAATTAATTAAATAAAGAAGATAGTAGAGAAAGGCTGATTCCTCATCACTGTCACATTGAACTTGCTGTGAAACTCACTCAGTAAAATGCCACTTGTGCCTTCTTGCACAATCAGTTTCTTGGGTGTTTTCAACAATTTAAAGATTTCTTAATTTTTTATTGACTTTAATGGATGTAAATTAATACCTCAACCTGCCTCATGCACTCAAACAGGTACCAGAAAATGACTTTTCATTGTATCCAGGGTAACATACAGTGTGGCGACCTACACATCCAGGCAAATTCACCACTTGCATGCATATCTCAAAATGTTATCATAGATTTTATTATTAAATGATTCTATGATAAAAAAGCTGAAAACAGAAAAATCAATTGTTTAATATTAAGTCAACACCACCCACTTTGGCACAGCTTCAGAATGTGTATCAAAACAAAATGCAGTAAAATTTCCTTCAAATTTGGTAATGGCTGTAAAACTTTTTCAGTCGTCTTCTGCTGCAAGTCAGAAGTGAACCTGAAGATTTACAACAAAAAGGTTTGTCAATGGCTCTTCTTTTAAATAATTAAACATATATGTACTCATCAGTTAGTGACAATAATTAAAAGTGTTTGTCAGTGATGTTTTTTTTTTAAAGTTACAAATTTAACATTTGTTTTCTATTCCATGTTTAAATAATTGTTATTTTGATAAACACTAATTTTATCTGTGATTAACATGTGGGTTATAGGATTTAGGGTTATAACAGTCCTGAACAAATTAGAAGAATTTTATTGAAACTGATTCTTTGATTTGATTGTAACCTCTGTAATTTACAAAAACAACAAACTTTCAGATGCCATTAGTGTCGATCAAACAATAGCTACCTTATTCAGCCTGAAGACTTACAGTAATATTGTGGTCAATAAAGTAGATGCTAAGGTATGTCATTATTTTCCATTATAACACATTGATTTACTTTTTAATTTATTGCAATGCCTCTAAAAGTTTCGATAGTTTTAGGGAAGATTTTGAAAGTATGGCAGCTTTGTATTTTTGTAAACAGTATTTCTGACACTTAAAATAACCATTTAAGGTTGGCATCAAATTTTATTTCCTGAGAAGGCTCATTATTTAAATACAACTGCAAAACAATTCATGCTCAACTAGAATCATGTTTTTGTTCTTTTCATACTTCAGGACTTGTTTTGTTTCTCTTTTATTTGTTAAATAATACATATATTTTTCTGTGTTTCCCAGAATGTTGGACTGGATCTTGTTGAGCTTTTGTTTAAAGAACAATATTTTGGCCGCAGTGATATGTGGAGGCTTTGTAAAACATTGGTAGTTAAAAATTGTTTATTTTACCATTTTTAGAGAAAGAACTGTCTCATATGAATAATTTATTTTACCTACTTGCCACAGTGTAAGTCGTTTCAAACAGTGGCGTAGCGAAGCAGGTGCGGGGGGTGCGGACCGCACCGGGTGACACCATTTTAGGGTTGACACCCGAATGAAAAATTGCATATTTACAGGGCACACATTGCTCTCAAAAACCGAGATTCATAAAAGAATAACCGATCACACATATATTTTCACAAATCCAAATCCGTGCTTTATTAAAAGTTCAAGGTTGATGCGTCAGAAATGAGATGATCCTATATTTAGGTCAGAAAAACACAATCATTATTCCACGCCAGTTGAAGTGTTCCACTAACGTCCGTAAGTGATAGGAGGCTATATTTATATAGATTCTGAGAAACAGGGCGGTGTAGTAGGGCGATTATAAGTATGCGAATCGGTAAATATTAAAAACATTATAAATGAATTTTTACCCATTTATAGGGTTAAAAATTATATTATTTTACAATAATGCTCTTTTATTTTACAAAACAATGGATCTATGGGATGATGCAAAATGGCGAGAAAATAGGGCGGTCTTGTGTTTTTTTTTTTCACTTTTCAGTCATAAATTGAATTGATTGTGCTGCAGATTGTTTGCTGTTAATGTTACAGAAACAACATCCAAATTTGTTACTGACTTTGATAAGTGGTGAAAACTGAGCCCAAAATTACAAAATCATCAAGCATCGGAAGAGCGCCTATGTTGCCTTGAAAAGTGGAAAGCATTAGCAGCAGGACTTAGGATACACAAAACAATTGATACCGAAAGTATTGCTGTGATGGACAGGGAAAAGAAAATGTGGAGGGATATCCTTCACAGGTTGCTGTATATCACATTGTTTCTTGCAAAGCAAATTCTGGCATTTTGTGGCCAGATCGGAGACAAATCTTCACTAAAATTTTATTGAAATGGTTGATATGCTATCTAAATATAATCAAGTGCTACAAGAGCACCAAATGAGACTAAAGAGGAGCACATCGACATGAAAAAGCATCCGTATCTTACCTTTCACCATAAACCTAAAATGAATTTATAAATGTCCTTGAAAGCATATGAAGGAGATTTTTATCATGGACATAAAGGCTGCGAGGTATTTTGGAATTATGTTCAAAAGTACACCTGATATATCACAAACTGACCAGATATCTGAAGTGACCAGATAAGTGAACATCCACAAAGGGAAAGTTGAAGTGAGAGAAGATCTTCTTGGATTTTTCCCGTTAAGAGGGACAAAAGCTGATGACTTCAGGTCTGAAATTCTTGCAAATCTGAAATGTGATGGGCTAGACATAATGATGTTCATAGCTGAAGGTTACGATAATGCTGCCACAATGTCTGGAATCCATGGAGGTGTTCAGGTTACTGTTAAAAGAAATAATAAGAACGTGATTTTTAATGGATGCGTGTACCATATGACATTTTTCAGTACTCTTGAAAGAATATTTTCCTTCTTTGCTGCATCCACTCATCAATGAAATGTTCTATTTGAACACACTGGAATGTCAGTGAAAAGACTATTAACAAAGCATTGGAGTACTTATCATGCTGCTAAGACAGTGAAAGTGAAAGTGATGAATGTGTGGTGGCTATTGAAGCTTTGTGTAATCCTCTTGAAAATTTGGATACAAGAGGTACAGAACAAAGTCTTTTGCATGCTGTCTTTGATTTGAAATTCAATTCTTTAATTATTATGTTTGTGATTTTACGTTTATCAGCTACCTTTTACCTTTGGGCTCATCTGCTTGCGGTCCTTGATGAAACATGCTATTGAAAAGAAATGTTTAAAATCAGACCACTATGGAATTTCGGTAGTGAGAAGATTAAGGTTTAAGAAGAGAAATGCAGAATAAAAATTAATAGATGCTGGACTCTTTCTTCGAGACGAAAACATTAGGGAGATTCTGGAGTGTATTGATCGCTTTCATTCGGAACTACAGATCATATCATCAGCGATCATGGAAGTAGCAGATACGTTTGGGGCTGTTCAACACAAGAGTCTAGTATCAGCAAGTGAAGAAGAGTTATTGGTGTACGTTCCAAAAGTAACTTCTATCTATGATGAGTTATCAGAAGATGAACTTTCAAAAGAAATACCATGGCTTAAAAGACATCTAAAGGCAGCTGATATTGAATTTTCATTAAGTCATTGACGGGTCAGTAATTAATGTTTTGAAATTCATAGCTGATTGGGACTTCCTAGAATCTCTTCCAATTCTCTCGCTAAGTTTTAAATTTTTTTTCTTACGTTAAGTGAGTCTTTGGCTTCATGTGAGCGGAGCTTTTCAAAACTAAGGCTCATCAAGAAATATTTATGATCCATCATGGGACCGTCAAGGCTTTCTAATATGGCTCTGCTATCTATTTAAAGTGACACATTGAAGGAAATTGATTTTGATCAAATGCTTGACAGGTTTGCAGCTTTGAAGACAAGGAAAGGAAAATTTTAAATACTTTAAATGTAATGTAAAAATAACTCTAACTCAACGTTGTTACAGTTTTTAAATTCCTTGACCTCATGAACTTCGTTTATGTGTTTTGTTCTTGTTATTGTTGTACTGTGGACTTATCTTAACAAGAAAAAATCGATCATAGAAGTTGGGGGGGGGGGGTGTGACACCGTGAGATTTTCGCACCGGGTGACACCAACCCTAGCTACGCCACTGGTTTCAAATGTTTATTAACTTTTTTTATTAAAGACAACATTTGTGATTCATATAATGGGGGGGGGGGGGTGTGACACCGTGAGATTTTCGCACCGGGTGACACCAACCCTAGCTACGCCACTGGTTTCAAATGTTTATTAACTTTTTTTATTAAAGACAACATTTGTGATTCATATAGAAACCTTTTACCTTATGCATTTTTTACCTACAGACCAACACTTGTGTGTATTTGAAAAAGCAAATAGAATTTGCAGAAATGAGGTATGACTATTTTATTATTGTTACAATCAATGTTTCAGTTTTATGTTATTATACAATAAGATGTCTAGTTCTTTTAAAATAACTTTTTTGAAAATATATAATCAGACAATTCAAATAATTATCCTTTTTTTAAAAAAAACACCTAAAAACAGAGCTTCTGTGAACGAGTTGTGGGCCAAGGGAGAGAATGTCACTTGTGGCGTAATAACAGAAGATACAAGAGTAAGAGTACTAAATTTGATTTTTATTTTAATAGTCTTATATTAGCTTGATTAGCTTCTTTTCATTAATTATTTTTACAAATCAAATTACTATAATCTCTTAAGTTTAAGAAATGTCAAGTTTTGTTTCAAAACACTCGCTTCTTTTTCCTCAAAACTTTTTAACTGAACCTTTTATTCTAATGCTAGAAAGAAATGTTTTAAACTTATTCTCATGTCTTCTAACTTTTTTTTCCTTTTCAGATTGTTTTCCGTTCTCCTACTGCGGTTGTCCAGATTTTCATCCAGATGAGCACAGAGATGTGGGACTTTGACCTTCACGGTGACCTTTACTATGAAAAAGCTGTTAATGGATTTCTGACTGATCTTTTTGATAAATGGAAGGTATTACATTTTTCTTCTCATTTTTTTTTTTATACATTAGAATAATGTAATGTAGTAGTACAATATAATCTACCCAGTTTTATTCTAAGGCTAATTGTGTTTATTGCAGTAAATCTTTTATACCTGGTGTTTAACATTAAGTTCAGATTTGAAATCTATAAGCATTGGTGTTTATCAGTAAGTAAGATTTGAAACCTGCAGTCACTGTTTTTCCACCAAATTGTCCAGGCTGTGCATTTTAAATTAGGCTTTGCACATTTAAAAGTGCTTACAATATAATTTAAATGCATCAATGTGTAAATCTATAATGCAGCTCTCAGGAGTGCGTTTGTGCTAATTCAAGGATTGTAAAAAAGGGGATGGACATATTTTTTAAGTTTAACCATATTTAAGCTAATAATTTTTATCTATTGCCTTTTAATAAACAATGGCTTGTAAGACACTAGAATCATTCCTTTGTCTTTTAAATAAAATTCTAGCAGTATTGTGAAACACATTTTTTCTACCATGCACATTCTATAGTTTACTTTCTGGTGATCTCAATGGTATTCTTCATCAGATAAGTTTCTTTGTGTCTGTATTACTACTACACTTTTATTATTTATCTGTTTCCTGAACTATTAAAATTATTATTATTATTTTATATTATTACTTTTTGTTTTCTTCTGGTTTTTTTATTGACTTTTGATAGAATTATTTTTTCAAAATAAATTTTATATTTTTTAAAATACATCTTCTGAAGTTTGTTATACCTTTATAATAGTTGACTTTCTAAGTCTTTAGCAGTGAGCAGCACTACATTCCAAATGTAAATAATTATTAAATTAAATTAGTGGGTTAAAAAAATGTGTATTTGTAGAATAACATTAAAATGAATGAGGTCAATTAATATAATTCTCTAGGCATGAAAGTATGGATAATGGTAAGTTCGAAAGCGCACAAAATAAAATTCCTGACAACTGGGCTAAATGACATTCTTAAAAATATAGCAAGTGCATTTGTTTGCTTAATTATTTTCTTTTGTTTTATGGAAATGGTCTCAATTTAAATATGGTGTAATAAATCTGTGGTCTAAAAAGGGATGGGAAATTAGAATATTAATATAGTTCATTGGCATAAGAAAGTGGGCGGTGGCTTACCTGTTTGGGGGGGGGGGAGGCGGGTGTAGCTCTTATTGCGATTCTTTAAAAGTCTTATCTGAATGGATGTTTTTTCAAGTAACTTATTTAAATATGGTGTAATAAATCTGTGGTCTAAAAAGGGATGGGAAATTAGAATATTAATATAGTTCATTGGCATAAGAAAGTGCGCGGTGGCTTACCTGTTTGGGGGGGGGGAGGCGGGTGTAGCTCTTATTGCGATTCTTTAAAAGTCTTATCTGAATGGATGTTTTTTCAAGTAACTTCAGTAAATAGGAAGCACACACATTGTGCCCACCATTGTTTGGAGGGCCGTAACTAGTAACATAATGATACATTTTCTATTAATAAACCCAGGATTAGTCAAAAGATTGACTCCAAAATTCTTTATTTATATCCATGCTAATCTGTAACTAGAAAGAGCATAATTTATAAAATATGATTAATGGCCTGTTTTGGCTACTTTTTGGCACATTCTGTCTTGTTTGAAATTAGAGATCAATATTCAAAAGAAATCTTTCTTTCGCTCTCCTAGGAACAAAACTGCATGCATGATGTGACCATTGTTCTCTTTTCTAGAGTTTTTTATGAAGCAAAGTCTATAGGTAAGAGATGTTCCAACTCCATTTGCAATCAGTAGATTAGTTGTTGTCAGATTAATTACTAATTATATAAATTTAAATATTCTGATCTAGCTTGATACAACAAAATTAAGAAAATGGGTAGGCAAATTAATTGTTAAATAATGTCATCTATATGATTAAATTTATACTCTCCAAAAATAAAAAAAATAAGAGGATGGTCATATCCCTCCCTGAATACATCAGTAAATTGACTCATGATTGTCACTGTAATTTGTATTCATAGCAGCATGACTGAGTTCTCCATTCCCTCCACTTTATGTTGCATCCTTCATGATTGAGTTTTCAATATTTACAACAGATGAGTTCCCAGCCTCAATTCGAGAATGTCTCCAGACAGATTCCAAAGGAAGAATGTATGAAGACTATTACAGGTGAACATAGAAGTCAATCAGTTTTTAAAAATTTCCTCTACTGTACAAGGCCTCCTATTTTTAAACTTAGCTGATTAGACTAGATGCCAAACTCTGCAACAATGCAGCCTACAACATGTCAAGTATCAATCAATATAATTCTCTTTGTATAAAGAAAGCATGTGGAAATGGTGAGTTCTAAAGCGTGCAAAATAAAATTCCCTATAACTGCACTAAATGAGATGCTTAAAAATACTTCAAGTGTGTGCATAATATTTAAATAATTTCTTTACAGAAATAGTCTCACTTTATATATGATGTAATAAATCTGCGGTATAAAATGGAGTACGACCATTTATAAATATCTTCTGAGTAAACTTTAACCTCCCAGTGACCGGCAGTTGTTTAAAAAGTAAAATTTAATACCATGATTAAATGGAGCATTTTTACTTAACCACTGAAGTATTTACCTTTTTAATTTGTATGCAAACCTGATTTTGTAGGGTCCTGGTACAGAATGAACGTTACGAAGAATGGCAGCCACTGCTCAGAGAGCTGCGGGTCATTTTCATTGACTATCAGGAGAAGCTACTTTCATTACACTCCAAGGCCCATCCAGGCTTTAAGATGCCAAAATCAAGCCTGTCGGTGGCCTCACAGGGAAATTTTCTGGAGACACTCAACATGTCTTTAAATTGTGAGTTGCTGAGAATTAGTTTTGCATGCCTTTTATATAAAAAATGTTTTGAGATTGACATTGTTCTCTGCATTGTTTTGCTAGCTGTATGTTGAGTGGAATAAACATATGGTTGTTTAGATACAAGATATTTCAATGTTTAAAAAAAAAAAAATTAAATCTAAATTTTCAAAGTTTTATTCTCTAAATTTTTTCACATATTGCAATTAACCAAAAAAGAACAAAAAAAACTCTTAAAATTTTTAATTAAGAATGTTAAGGGCTGTTGCAAATTTAAGCGGGCATTACATTGACATTATGAGGTTTCCCGTATTGTTTTTTTGGCATATGACTTAAATCTGACAAAAGGCAAAGTAAATAAATAAACCTGAACAAGATTTTTTTCTGCCTTGTGCCATCGAATTCATGGCTGATTTATTATTTTGTTGCAGTGTTTGAGAACTACTACCTTGACCGTAACTTTGACAGGACCGGCAAGGTGTCTGTGGTGATCACCCCTGGGCCCGGTGTGTTTGAAGTGGACAGGCAGCTGGCGAACATAACAAAGCAGAGGACTATCGACTGTGGTTAGTAACATCCTCTTTCAGCCATTAGAAAGTGAAAGGTAGCACTTAAAATGTATCCTGTAACTAAGGAGATTTAAAAAACCAGGCTTCTCTAACTCCTGGCTAAGGGCGTATAATCTGGTGAATGTCTGTCAGGTTTTGTAATCTACTGGCTAGGCTCTGGTGAGTGACGAGTGGAGTTTTTGAAGCTTAAGTTTTTGCAGATTTCCAGTCCATCATTGAGAAGAGAAAAAAAAAAATCACACCAAATTCAAATATACTGCCTGCTCTCACTTTAACATAGAATACTATATAATATGATTCTGTTTTGAATGTTTTACAAGCTTCTTGGAAAAAAGGGTATATTAATTATTTGTATTATATAAACGCTATACTTTATTTATGTCACCTAACATTAGAATTGTTTTTTTTGTTGCATCTATTATCATTCTGATTAAGTGGGATTTAAATCTATTATCACACTGATTTAGTGGGATTTAAATCTATTATCCCACTGATTTAGTGGGAGTTAAATCTATTATCACATTAATATAGTGGGATTTAAATCTATTACCACACTCATTTAGTGGGATTTAAATCAATTATCACACTGATTTAGTGGGATTTAAATCTATTATCACACTGATTTAGTGGGATTTAAATCTATTGTCACAGGATTTAGTGGGATTTAAATCAATTATCACACTGATTTTGTGGGATTTAAATCTAATATCACACTGATTTAGTGGAATTTAAATCTATTGTCACAGGATTTAGTGGGATTTAAATCTATTGTCACACTGATTTAGTGGAATTTAAATCTATTATCACACTGATTTAGTGGGATTTAAATCTATTGTCACACTGATTTAGTGGAATTTAAATCTATTATCACACTGATTTAGTGGGATTTAAATCTATTGTCACACTGATTTAGTGGGATTTAAATCTATTATCACACTGATTTAGTGGGATTTAAATCTATTGTCACAGGATTTAGTGGGATTTAAATCTATTATCCCACTGATTTAGTGGGAGTTAAATCTATTATCACACTGATTTAGTGGGATTTAAATCTATTGTCACACTGATTTAGTGGGATTTAAATCTATTATCACACTGATTTAGTGGGATTTAAATCTATTGTCACAGGATTTAGTGGGATTTAAATCTATTGTCACAGGATTTAGTGGGATTTAAATCTATTGTCACACTGATTTAGTGGGATTTAAATCTATTATCCCACTGATTTAGTGGGAGTTAAATCTATTATCACACTGATTTAGTGGGATTTAAATCTATTGTCACACTGATTTAGTGGAATTTAAATCTATTATCACACTGATTTAGTGGGATTTAAATCTATTGTCACACTGATTTAGTGGGATTTAAATCTATTATCACACTGATTTAGTGGGATTTAAATCTATTGTCACAGGATTTAGTGGGATTTAAATCTATTGTCACAGGATTTAGTGGGATTTAAATCTATTGTCACACTGATTTAGTGGGATTTAAATATATTATCACACTGATTTAGTGGGATTTAAATCTATTGTCACAGGATTTAGTGGGATTTAAATCTATTGTCACACTGATTTAGTGGGATTTAAATCTATTGTCACAGGATTTAGTGGGATTTAAATCTATTGTCACACTGATTTAGTGGGATTTAAATCTATTGTCACAGGATTTAGTGGGATTTAAATCTATTGTCACACTGATTTAATGGGATTTAAATCTTTTATCACACTCAGTTAGTTGCATTTAAATGTGATTATCACACTGATTTAGTGGGATTTAAAAAAAAAAAGTTTTAAAAAGTTTTCTTCTGGTTCACTCTGTAAAAAAAAATCTCATTTGTTTAGTGTCCTCTTAAACATTTAATTCTATTACTGTGATCAAATTTAGGTGTAGGAAGTGATCTGGTCTGTATGGGGGAGCAGCCTCTGCATGCAGCACCGTTATTTAAGGTAACTGTCTTAAAATAAAATGGTTATCTAAAGCTGAGATGTAATGATAATTTTATTTAAAGAACTATTTTAAAAGTTTTTTTTTTACTTTATGAATAGACTTAATTAAATCTTTTGTGTATTTTATTTAAAAGATGCTCCAATTTTTTGCAACAAAACTTTTTTTATTTTTTAAAAATAGTGTGGTTTGGTCGTAATCATTTTTTTTGTCATCAGTTCCACAGCAAAATAAGTCATAAATCTATAGAAGTTGGAGATGATTATAATATACCTCATTGGATGAACCACAGGTAACAAAAGCTTACAAAAATAATATTTAATTGTTAGAGATAATTTATAATAATGTATCTATTATTGTTTAATTATTTAAAAATTGCAGGACATCTCCTTTTAAATTTGCTTATTAAATATTTTATTTTTCATGTAAATTTTAGCAATTGCATATTTAGATCACCTCTAGCCACTTGTTAAAGGTGGTATAGCGAGTTTAGCAAGTACGCTAATGGTGAGATTTCAAATAATACTTTCATGAAGGCATCAGGTTAACTACCCATATTCACTACTTCATTTTTGGTATTTCAGCTTCTACATGTCCAAAAACCAAATCCGTGATCACCAGCAGTCTTCATTTGTACCCAGGATAAAGCCACCGCCAGCTCTGGTAAGACACAGAACTTGTTACACGATAAGAACCCCGCTCTGCTGAAATAATTGAAATAGACTGATGAATGGTCTTGATCCGTTTCTCTAATTGTAGTTAAATATCACCACAGGGAGAATTTTAAAAATTCTAATGTAGTTTATATTTTCCAAGTGGAAAGGCTGAGAGATTCTTTTAAATTAAAAATAATTACGAGAACATGATTTATTTCCCTTCACTACATACAAATGATGGACAAATGTGTATGTTGTGCAAGTAATAACTATAAAACTCCCTGTTCATTTTAAGAACTGCTATGATGAGAACTTAGCTGGTCTCCATGAGCATTACAAAGTTCATCTCTGTGAACTTTAGTTTATCTCTATGAACATTACTTAGTTCATCTTCGTGAACATTACCTAGTTCATCTTTATGAACATTACTTAGTTCATCTCTGAAAGTTACTTAGTTCATCCTTATGAACATTACTTAGTTCATCTCTGAACATTACTTAGTTCATCCTTATGAACATTACTTAGTTCATCTCTAAAAGTTACTTAGTTCATCCTTATGAACATTACTTAGTTCATCTCTGAACATTACTTAGTTCATCCTTATGAACATTACTTAGTTCATCTCTGAAAATAATTAGCTTATCTCTATGAACATTACTTAGTACATCTTCATGAACATTACATAGTTCATCTCTATGAACATTACTTAGCTTATCTCTATGAACATTACTTAGCTCATCTCTATGTACATTACTTGGCTCATCTCTGAACATTACTTGGCTCATCTCTGTGAACATTACTTGGCTCATCTCTAGTGAACATTACTTGGCTCATCTCTATGAACATTACTTAGCTCATCTCTGTGAACATTACTTGACTCATCTCTGTGAACATTACTTAGCTCATCTCTGTGAAAATTACTTGGCTCATCTCTGTGAACATTACTTAGCTCATCTCTGTGAACATTACTTGGCTCATCTCTGTGAACATTACTTAGCTCATCTCTGTGAACATTACTTGGCTCATCTCTGTGAACATTACTTAGCTCATCTCTGTGAACATTACTTAGCTCATCTCTGTGAACATTACTTAGCTCATCTCTATGAAGATTACTTAGCTCATCTCTGTGAACATTACTTGGCTCATCTCTGTGAACATTACTTAGCTCATCTCTGTGAACATTACATAGCTCATCTCTGTGAACATTACTTAGCTCATCTCTGTGAAATGTTATGTTCAACAGTTGAAAGAGCTTGAAGCTCCAAAGCAAGATAAGAAATGTAAGTATCTCAAACTTTTCTTTTTGCCTTTTTTATGTTAACTTTAAAAAATGTAAAAAATTTGTTAAACCTTTACCAATCTTGACCTCTTTTAACTTGCCAACCTTCTTATGTTGACGTTTTTTGAAGTGGAACGCCAAATTTTCTCTTTGTCTTAGCATTTTAACCTTGGTTATGTCGATTTTTTTTTATGTTGCCAAACTCTGATATCTGGAGCACAAAAGGCGGCCGACTTTGCCACTTATCTAAATCCCCATGACCAATCCCTGGCTTTTGAACTTCTGTGCTCGTTTTTTTTTAGTTAAAAAATTTGTAAACAGCTGATCGAAATGGCTTCATCGAGTAATACTGCTAGTTCTAATCGATCAAAATTTCAATCTATAACTGCCGATGAAGCAAGTAAATTGATTTACTTGGATATTTCAAATGACGATAAATCTGACGATGGTGATTACGAAAATTTATTATTTGACGAAAAAAGTGATGAGAAATATATTCCTCAGACTAAAAAGGGACAAAAATTATCTGTTGGAAAGGGGAAAGGAAAAAACTCATAACTTGACAATTTCTGGAGCTACTGCAATGAAACTTTCTAGTTGTTTTGGATATATAACTCATTTTTTAAAAGTATTAACTTGGATTATTGTTACCTGATTTATGAGCTGGTGAGTAAATCAAAATTTTTTTTTTTTTTTTTTTTTTTTTTTTTTTTTTTACATAAACTGCAAAAAATTCTCTTTGGGTAATTTTTTATCAATTTTTATTTACTAGAAACATATTCAAGGGTAAAATTTTCAAAATGAAGTTATAGCTTTCAGAGCTAGTTTGTTAGATAGGGCCTGAAAAATGCAATTCATTGATACCAAATTTATGTTTGTATGTCAATTCTAAAGAAAGTTATGATTTTTTCGTGAATTATTTTGGGATAACTCTGTTAATTGAGACATATAGGAAAATATAAAAGTGACTAAAATAAAAATGGGGCAGAGAGTTGGGAGAGATATTAAAAAGAGCAGTAAATTGAAGTTATTTAATGAAGATAACCATAACAAACTATATATATATATACGTGATCATCATAACATTATCCAAACAGACGTCATAATAAATTCTACGTTACGCAAGATGAGCTCATTAATATTCAAAATGGCGGTAAATTTCCATGTGTCATATTTGAATATGAACACAACATGAACAATATTCTTCAAAATATAGGGTCATGCATATCAAATTGTTCGTATTGAAAAGGGGAAAAATAATAAGTGGCATATGGAAGGGTGAACCAATGTGTCCATTAAAAAATTCAATTTATTTTATATCTCTGATAGGAAATCAATATCTGATATTAAATTTACAATATTCCTTTTTTAATTACCTATGTTTTGATATGCAGCATGATATAGTTTTGATAAATAGCGAAACGGAGCTTTTCAGTTTAAAATCATCAGGTCAAATAGAAGTTTAGTCCCAAAATTTTACTGCGTTCCCTAAAGAAATTGTGACGTATTGAATGGGTTAAATAAATGTTTCAATTCGAGGTTTAAAAACCCGGTAGAGTCCATATTATAAATGATCTTAATTTGCCATATGCAAAAGGTTGTCATGGTTATGGGGTACTATGTCAGTTTCATTTATTAGATTTTGCTGTATGCAAAAGATATTAAACCGTTGTTCAGGGAAAGCTTTAATTAACTAGTCATGTGCCAAAGTTGAAAGTTCAAAATAAGAAGTCCCCAAATAGTATTTTAGTAATAAGAGGATGCACTGCCTTAATATAAGCTATATAGAGACGATCAGCAGAATGAGGTCACAAAATGTGAAGGCTTCGTCCATAGTAGAAAATACCAAACGAACTTGCCCTTAAAATTCGTAGCTCAAAAAGTACTAGTCTAAAGTGAAAAAGTTGATTCTGGTTTCATTTTTTTAATTTGAAATTTGCTAAAATAAATGTAATATTTAAAAAAGTTATTTATTATTTTTTTAATCAAGTACCTGCATTTATCAACACACATCATGTACATACAGAAATTTTTAAATCAAGCACATGTTAGTATATTGCTGCCATATTGGTTTTCGGTTATCTGGATCATGGGTTATCTCGATGCTTTTTGGCCAAACCCGAGGCCGTCGGCCGTCGACATAACCTGGTTCTACTGTACTAAAAAATTCGTATAGTTCTGTATCTCATCGTTTTTAATTTAGTTTGTTAGATTTGTTTTGTAAACCAAAAAACAGCGAGGGCATTTGTTTACCGTTGTGTATGTAAAATTTTAATTTTCAAAGCCATTGTGGGAAGAATCATCATTCTGACACATTTCTTCAGCTTTTGTATGAACAGAATTTTGTACAGCCCTTTTAAATCAACTGGTCACCACACCTCAATGCTTTGTTTGTCATTTATCTTAGCACTGCTGCCCCCCAAAGACAGTTCCAATGATGACAACATCCCCTTTGTTGACTATGATGAGTATGATGCTCAGGTTTTCAAACTGTCCTCGGGCGCAATGTCAAGGACATTGTGAGTAAAGCCTTTCTGCTCTTCAAAATTAAATTTGTTTTTAAACAAGTTAAAACCTCTCATAGTTGGGGAACTATGAACTTTTAATGAAATACTTCTAATAAACTTATAAAAGCACAATTTTTAAATAGTTCCAAGTATGTTACAATTAAAAAAAAAACACAACATTTTTATGATTTTATTATCAACTGACATCATTTCAAGGCCACTGCTTTTAATAAAGGAGGATAACATTTTGAGATCCACCGATTCATTCAAATCTTTCCTTGAGAGAAAATATATTAAAATCAAAGTATAGATTTCATAAAGGAACTTTGGGCTGAAGCTGAGCTGTACTTGTGCAAGTCAGAATTAGATAACAATCTTGTATCAAAGGGTAAGGTCACAAGATAATTTAAAAAGAGTTGAGCCTACCAAAACAGCTTTGGCTTTGGAGCATAAATCAAGTTAAAATTATGTATCTAGTAAATAGTATTTTACCATTTGTTTCCACTGGGCCAGGGTAACACATTGATGACGTACAGAATGAGCATTGCCTGGTAGACTTCTACATTTCACTGCCATTTTTCATTCATCAGTTCAATCAGAGGAGCCGGCGCTCATGCTAACTCCAGCCGTCCAGCCCTGCCCAAGACGTTTGTGGAGGCCAGGCGGAGGCTCCGGCCGCGACAGCGGCACACATCGGATGATCTCTCGGCGTACATGAATGACCACAACAAAGGCTCCGGGAGGGACTCTTCGGCCGCCATTTCCATTCCCAGTGGTACAAGCTTTCTTGATGACTTCGCATATTCCTTTGATTGTATTAAAGTCTATGGTGAGACATTAACCCCTTGAGCTTCACTCAAAGCCTGCCAGCTCAGTGTTCGCCTGGGGCTGTCTATTTCAACAAGTTAAGATTAGCTAACATTTTGGTTTGGATTAAAAAATGTATAATTTTAGAATTCTCGTTGACTACTTCCGACAGCCGTGATATGAAACTATTGTAAAGATTGTTTTATTGACATCCAACTCACTCAATCAATGGGGCAGTAACTGAATTGAATTATTTAAGAAATCATATTATTTAGGTCTATAAATTTATTGGTTTTTTTTTTTATTGCTGTGCAATATCTTGTGCAAGCCTGAACTTCTTTTGGATGCTTGTGCTTTTATAGATTTTTATATGTTAGCTTTAGGCTTGAGTTGTGCTCAAATTATCTTCATTACAACTGTTATAACTCACTTTTACTACTAATTTATCCAAAACTTATTCTAAAACTAATCCAACTTTAACCCCACAGATTTCTGAAACTAGAGATATATTTTTTTCAGGCCCCCTAATGTATTGCGCCCCCCCCCCCCCCCCCAAAATAAAAATATTTATATCTCTTATTCATTTATTCCTCTAAGCTAACATGTTGTTAACCACAATGGGATATTCCTAACAATACTCTTAACATTTTTAATTGTCCCTACGATCTCATGACTTTTGTTTCTTCTAAAAAATGGTTTTAAGAGTATTTATACTAAGTGAATTAATCGATTTTATTACTTTCATAGACACCTTAAAGTGTAGCAGTCAAAAACATTACATCTGTTCATCCTCATATTTAAAAAAAATGATTTTTAAATAAGGGTCCAACTATTTTTGCAATTAAAACATGTTTCACTTCACGTGACTGCTTAAATGTAGACCTACTTTGCTTTTTAAGCATTTTGCATTCATAACACTAATCAGAGATAGCTTTTGGTTCACCGTTAATGACCAGCGAATGCCACTGACAGCTCACAGCTGTTGTCATTTCTTACCTCCCCAGACAAAGCAATGAGCAGAGGGTCTTTTGAGTCGACAGAGAGCGACGAACTGATCCACCAGCGCAGGGTCGTGGGTAGTGCCGGGTCTCCGGTCGGTCACTCCCGTAACCTACACAACTACCGACCGCACAGGGCCCTGATAAACCCGTTTGCACCGTCAAGATTGCAGTTCAAGATGACTAGTAATCGTAGGAGATGGGTTCATGCTTTCCCTGTTGGTAAGTCATTCTTGTCCATGCCTTTCCTGTTGGTAAGTCATTCTTGTCCATGCCATTAAAAATTTAAAAAAGCCTAGTTCTGGTGGATGTCCCTAGCTCTGGTGGATGTCACTATTTCTGATGAATGTCCCCAGTTCTGGTGGATGTCACTAGTTCTGATGGATGTCCCCAGTTCTGGTGGATGTCCCTAGTACTGGTGGGCGTCCCTAGTTCTGAATAGAGAGACAGAAATCAAAGCTATGATATGCCAGACTTTGTTACTCTGGGCCTTTGTTAATGATTAATTATTGGTTGTCCTTTGTGAATGTATATTTGTTGTTCTTTGTAAATGATTAACTATTGGTTGTCCTTTGTTAATGTTTAATTATTGGTTGTCCTTTTTTGAATGATTAACATAAAACACTTATTGCCAATAAGTAAAATATGAGAGCCATGCTTAGCTATGTATGGCTTTTGTCCCCCAGAATAGGCTATATCTACATTTTGGATGATGATCTGGCAAAGTTATTTCCAGATTTGTTCCTTTGTAAAATATATTTTTTTAAAAATATTGGCACTCTTCTTATTTTATGAAATAACTTAGGCACATATAGGCCTAAACAGACATGAGTTTTTTCTTTAACTTTTTGTACTCCCCTTTGAATTATGCTTTAATATAGTTGATGCAGTTGTCTGAATAATGCATGCATTTGTTTTTGCATGTGGTGCACCACATAAAGCACATTGGAGAACTCAACTAAACCCTGACGTGTTGTCAACTAAACCCTGGTGTGTTGTCAACTAAACCCTGGCGTGTTGTCAACTAAACCCTGGCGTGTTGTCAACTAAACCCTGGCGTGTTGTCAACTAAACCCTGGTGTGTTGTCAACTAAACCCTGGTGTGTTGTCAACTAAACCCTGGCGTGTTGTCAACTAAACCCTGGCGTGTTGTCAACTAAACCCTGGCGTGTTGTCAACTAAACCCTGGCGTGTTGTCAACTAAACCCTGGTGTGTTGTCCACTAAACCCTGGCGTGTTGTCAACTAAACCCTGGCGTGTTGTCAACTAAACCCTGGCGTGTTGTCAACTAAACCCTGGTGTGTTGTTATTTTTTAAAAAATGATTTGATATCTACAGATCAGAAAGGTATGGCCATCCAGGCCAGACATATACATTCAGTGGAGCATTCAGAGCATGACTACGACTTTCCGTTTACAGAGAGGGGATCAGTGCAGGTGAGGAAAAGATATTTCTTAATGATGCACAAATCAGACATGGGGGGGGGGGTATTTTCTAAATATTTGATTTTTTCCAGATTTTATTTAAATAAACTTACTTTTAAAACATTCTTTAAAAAAAACAAAAAAACAAAATGAATGCTCCTGGTGTGTTACTCATTTTCAGAGCCCCATAGTGACTGTCACCACAAGCAGGAAGAAACAGAAAAGTATTCTGGGAGTGAATGAAAGACAAGACTTGGATCAGCAGAGCCAGGGGTGGGTCAGGTGTCTGCATAAATAGAAGAGACTAGTTCTAAAGAATGTTCGTTCATAAGCGTGAAAATTCTGACCATCCATAATTTAATATGCCGGAGTATCTAAGGATCAGACACAAAGGCCGGCCTTTCATACTATGGTATTCAACTTGTATTAATTGTACTTATCATGATGTTGAGTGAATAGTATTGCCATCTTCTTCCAGTACCTTTGTTTTGATGCAGTCTTAGTAAACAATGGTGAAAGCACTTGAATTAAAAAATGTTGAAAACAAAATGTGGAAAAACATAAAAATCTCCTATAACTATAATCCGCTCGTAAGGCTGCCACCCGAATATTTCCACACCAAAAAAATGCCCAACAGACCTTTCGGAGTTGGCTCTCACCAAATGTATCCTAGTAAATTTTCTGGATATTTCGAGATGGAACGTATCTTATGAAATCTTGTCTATAATCGTTTTTACCCACTGATAAGTTTATATTTCAGATTTCTCAAAGAGGGTGGTATGTGTGGGACGAGTGGTATGTGTGGGACGAGTGGTATGTGTGGGACGAGTGGTATGAATGAGTGTCTGCCACAAATTTATAGATGATTATATAAGGTCTTTGAAACTAATCCTCCCTGAATTAATAATCATACCATTTTTTGGTCAATGCATATAAACAACAAAGAATTATGTTATTGTCTTGACAGCGGGGAGAGCGTAGCAGAGTCCCCAGTGTCCAGGTCAGATCACAACTCCAGTAGCAGTTTCAGCAAGAGGAGCCTCGGGGACTCAGCCTGTGAGTTTCTTTAATATCATAGGTGTACACATTGACAAACTCAATATATCCTTGATAGTTGTCCTTGATAGTTGTTTTTATTTTTTAGACAGGCTGGGGGTGTTTGACAAGTTGAATGTACTTTCCATGTTTCAACTGGGCTAGAGGCCTAGATGGAGATCCGTTAAACTGATCACTTGATCAGTGTTGTGCTTGTTTAGGAGAAGTTGGTGTTTGTACACATAGCCAGACTAGAGAAGCTCTTATTTTGTGAAAAGTCTGAAAGGTAAAATATATTGCAAACCCCCCAAATGTAGTCCTTAGTGATCCTAAAAGGTACAGATACTTCATTTCCTCAATTACAAAAAAAAAAAAATTAAATTAAACAATTTTTTCTTACATAATTCTTTTTGACATATTCCTCTTGCATATGCTGAGCTTATCTTTAAACAGTCTTTTGAAGTGGAAATATGTGTACAAAAATTCAGTTTTAAAATACTGCTCTCCCACTGCCCAATATTTCAATTTAGGTGTACACATTTTTAAAAAAAATCAAATTTAAAAAAAACATAGGATTTACCATCAACCTTGAAGGTATGTAATTGATCATCAACCTTGAAGGTATGTAATTTACCATCACCTTTGGAGGTATGTAATGTACCATCAGCTCATATTAACAGAGAGTTATACATTGTGCATAGAAAAATACATTCTTTTGATTAACTATTAATCGCCCTGCGCAACATTTTCCTAGCATTGTCCAGACGGGGACATGGCAGTAAGGCATCCCTTGGCAGCAAGACAAAAATATTTGGATCCGGGGCCACAAAAACTGGCAATGACCAAGAGTGGTCTTTGGATATGAGCACAGGTAGGTCTTACACCATCGGATTGTTCAGGATAGTTTTAAAAATGTAATAAAATTGCGTAAGCATGACAAATGGGAGAGTATGGCTGGTAAAAGGGGATAAAGTTCAAAATAAAAACACACGACATGAGATTTATTATCTATTAACCTCTTATATAATCCAGATTACCATGTTATTTTGGAATTAAATGTAGATGGAATCCTCAGAGTTATAATATTGCTTCACTTGAATATGTATATTTATTTATCTTAAAAAAAATTATTTGAAACAAAGTAAAAATTATTCCATATTTTACCTAAGTATAGCCCTACTGCTAAAAAGCTCTTCATGCCCTCCGCAAAGCACCCCCCCCCCCACCCCCAGTTGACTATTGGGCCACGATGCAGCATCTTTGAGATATCCTCCTGCTAGGACACACCCCCACCCATAAATTCACTAGATTATCTTAAGGACATCCAGTTGGTCGGTGATGTTGCTCTCACATCAGCAGTAGATGTTCTCAGGGGTCGGGATGGTGCATTTTTGTCCCAATATCTCCCCCTGCCCATCCCAGGGAAGCATCAGAGGCCCTCTAAAAGGGTTTTCTACAGTGGGTTTCTAACTCACAAATAGTTCAGAGTAGCTAGGATGAAACGGTTGCTTAGGAACAGCGTCCTCAATGGCTGTGCGTCTAGAATCATAAGCATGAGGCTGCCACTACCCACCTCATGCCTCAACTCTGTCATCGGCAACACTGTAATTATGATCCCTCTCCTGTTTCTATGTTATTTCAACTGCAGATTCATCTACATCTGGTTGTAGCACTGAGTTGCTTAAGTTTTCTGCAGATACCATGCATGCCCTTTTTCTGCCCACGCAATTGTGCTTATGTTCCGGGTAGCGCTAGGGTGTCGATGGCAGCACCTCTTTAGTCAGCATGCCACTACAGACACATGGACCATAGCCCCAGGAATATTTAAATATAAACCCTTAACTGACTGTCTTATCCTTTCCATTTCAAGTCTAAATGTAAAAAAGATATTTGCCCCATTTCTCATTTCCAATATATTGCTTCCCAGTAATCTTCTTGCTGCCTAGCAGTGAGAATCACTTCCATCTAGAAAAAATTAATTCAGCCCCAAAACAGATTCCTTCTAACCCAGACCTGTTTACCCCTAGGATAGTGTCAGTGTAGTTTTCAGCTCTTAATAACATAGTTTCAAGCTCTAAGGAGTAGTCAGGTGGGGGGGGGGGGCTGGTTGGAAATCAAAATACAAGTTGTGGAAATAAATCCACTCAACTGGTTATGTAAGTTAACACAAATAAATATACAGGATATAGTGCTGTGATTTGTCTTTAGGGTGAGAAAAGGTTTTAGGGCAGGCACATCGGCAGTTAAGTATTAAAAACGTACTTCTCTAAAAGATAATATTCTGGTTGGTTTATTGAGATCGACTGCAAAGGCCAATCACTGCTGTAGTCTTAAAAATGTAGTCACTAAGGAGAAAGCGTACGGGTACAGGTCTGCTAACCAAATTTTATAGAAGAAAGAAATATGCCAGTTTTGATAAAACATGCAAAGTGTATTTTTCCAATACATTTCATCTTGGGTGTTTTCATTTCATATTTTGATACTTGAAGCATGTGCAATTGTTAGAAGATTTTATCTCAGCACTGAAAATTTAAAAAAACAACTTTGAAACTATTGGCATACTTAACATTTATGTTGCTTGAATGAAATCAAATATAGATCAATTAGCTATGAATGTGTATTAGTTGGTTGTTATCACAACATTTATGTGGCTTGAATGACAGCATATACAAATTAATTAGCTATGATTGTAGATTAGTTGTTTGCTAAACTTTTGACATGCTTAACATTTGTGTAGCTTGAATGAAAGCATACTTAGATCAATTAGCTGTCAATGTGGGTTAGTTGTTTGTGAAACTGAGAGCATTCGCAGAAGTGTCATCAAAAGAAATATCAATCACAATACTCACAGGGAGAAAGGTTGTTGAATTGTCAATGTTAGAAAATTTATAGTATTTACAAAACAAAATAAAAGTATTTGGGGCTTATCAAAGATGCAAAAGAACTATTAAATTTGTGTCCAGGGCCGAAAAGCTGCTGGGAATAAATTAGTCTAAAACCTCTAATGAATAGGAGGGAAAAGAAAAAAGGAGCCAAGTGATTTTTTTCTTTCTTTCAAAATGAGATGTAAATACAATTTATACGAAACAAAAATGTCGCTTAGCTAATGGTTTCACTGTGTTAATTTGTTTCCTATCTTAATGTGGACTGCTTTAAAAAAACAGAAGATTTTGTGGATCTCTAAACATTTTTCGAGTGATGGGTCAATAAGTAAAATAATTCAAGTTCACAACTTTACATCAAAAGTACTGTGTGTACTTTTGTCTGGACTCCATCTTTATGTATGATCCACAAATATATGGTACAGCCTAGGATTGACTTTCACAAAGTTAAAAAGCTTTTTTTTTAAAGATAGATTACTTGTCATTCAAAAACAGAGATCACATATTATGTATTTGATAATTTCAAGAATATTTATTTTAAATGGATTCAATTGTAACAGTATTGCAGTAAATGTGTACAAGTAATTCTTACATAGCAACCCATATGTTTGACATTTGTTCAGACTTTCAACCAACTCTTTCCAGTGCAAAGAGTTCCCTTGTTGTCATTTTATTTTTTTTACAGAAGGATTTGTATTTTGAAATACTTTTTTTGCTCTAGACCTTTTGTCTATTCGGAACACAAAAAAAATGATAAAGCACCTAACATATGGATCAATTTACTTCATGACCTATTAGCAGGACAGAACACTGTTGAAACATCAAGACTACAGTGATCCCTCATCAGTTGGGGGATTCACTTTAGGCTGTCTACTGTTTCGCGAATTTTTTACATGCATATATCCAATTTTTTAATCACTGATTTTTCGCTATATTGCAGGATTTAGCTGCATATAGGTATTTTATATATTTTATTATTTTAATTATTTTTGCTGTAAAATAAGTATTTTCTAGCATAAATAATTGAAAACACTATAAAAAATATATATTACTTAAAACATAGTAAAAGAATATTAAATCAAAATAAAATTTGTAGAATGCAGCAGATGAGTGGACAAAGACCCACATAAGGAAAACGTTAATAACAGTGGGGGGAGGGTTTATAAAGTTCTTAAAATAATATAAAAATAAAATATAAGGTCGCTATTTTTGTCGATATCGCAGGGGTTTCTGAAATTAACCCCCTTAATAGACGAGGGGATCACTGTACCTGTAATCAAGTTGCAAAATGTTGAGGTGCTCACCTTTGTTTCAGATTGAAAAAATAGCTGTTTCATAACTGCACATAAAATAAAGGAAAAAAAAGAACAGGTTTTCTAGTTTTTAAATGTATAATGGAAAGCCAAACCTTATTATTTTGAATATAAACAGATTCAAAATGGAAAGAGAAAAAAATAAAATTTGTTTTATTTCTTAGATTCATATTTCTTTGAGCACCACCAGCAATGTTTTCTCTCACCAAGCAATTGACTTTTCTGTTTACTTTTATTTATAGTACTTTTCCCCCCAACGTCAAAGCTAAACATAAGGAAGTATCCCATTTTATGACCCCCCACCCCCAACTGCCACCACCACACAGTTTTTTATAACCAGTTTCAAATACTGCTTATATTTTAACCCATTTATCAGATAATAAATAGGGGACGAAATCTTAAAAGAAAAATTTGTTGTTGTTGTTGATGTAGGACCCCATATAAAGTATTTTGAAAAGAGATTCATCATACAGCATGTTGAATATAGTTATTGTCATTGAGGCTAAAGAGAAACAAGGAATATAGTTATTGTCATTGAGGCTAAAGAGAAACAAGGAATATAGTTATTGTCATTGAGGCTAAAGAGAAACAAGGAATATAGTTATTGTCATTGAGGCTAAAGAGAAACAAGGAATATAGTTATTGTCATTGAGGCTAAAGAGAAACAAGGAATATAGTTATTGTCATTGAGGCTAAAGAGAAATAAGGAATATAGTTATTGTCATTGAGGCTAAAGAGAAACAAGGAATATAGTTATTGTCATTGAGTCTAAAGAGAAACAAGCTGTTTTCAGGCTATTTACAACACATTCAAATAACTCTTGACTTAAAAGTTTTAAAACTGACCACTGTCAGGTCAGTTGATGCATCCAGTTTTACCTTTGAATAGCTCTGAGCAGGATGCAGCTGCTGTAAGCTTTTGAAAAAAAAACAGTGTTTACCAAACTATTATGCCTGGTCCTCCCTTAATTAGACTGGGGAATTTTTGACCAGATGAATTAAGAGTAAATGTATTTAATTTTAATTAAATTAGATTTTTGTTAACTGACAGGATAAGCTGTCTCATCTTGTAAGAAATAATTTATCTCATCTATGTATATCATTGTTTGGGAATCAGTTGTTTTTTTTGTTGTTTTTTTTTACGTACTGTTTTCTTTATTTGAGAATGTCACTGTCATTTTAATGCTGAAATGAGAAGCCTTAGTTTTCATTATATTTCAACTGCATTATTTTCTATATTTATATTTATCATTAGCCATTCTTGTTGGCTACCCCAATTTTTTATAATGTCATATATGCAAATTCACACCATAATAACTGCTGTTGGAGATCCATGTATTAATGTATTTTATTTAAGTGATATTTGTATCCTCAGATAGTGCATGAAAAGCGTATTTAGCAGAATGTCAGCAAATTTCTAATCTGAAAATATTTTTTTTTTACACTCAGCAGAAACAAAATACTATGCCCTCAAACTTTGAATTGTTACAGAAGCATTTCTCTTGCCCATAATATCTCAATGGGATTTTTTTTAAATATTTTTTTTAAAAGTAATTTTTAAAATATTCTTTTAAAAAATGCCTGCCAGAATTTTATGTCTTTAACATAATAGAAATGTGCAAATAATATCTTGTAATGCATGCAGCGATGAAGACTCAAACATGATTGAACTAACAATAAAACAATGAAAAAAAAAAGCTGTTGAATTAATTTTAAAAAACATGTTACAAATGAGTGGTGGATCCAAAAAAACAACTTAAGTTTGATTTAATTAACATCAGTCATGACATTGGTTCATTCTGCCCTTTTGAAATTAATACTCTTAAAACAAAATTTGAGGGGGCTTGTAATAATTAGCTTTACTTTCTTTCAAGCCACTAAATCAGAACACATTTTAATTGCTTTAAAAAGTTTTAAAAAACATTAAATTACAATGTATTATTTCCTTGACAAAACATTTTGGATGTTATGCTTTTCTACAGGCTATGACTGGCGCCCTTTGGCCTCTGACCTCCAGCACAGGGAGGGGTCAAGGCTGACCAAATCAATATTTAGAGGAGATATCCAATCGAACATGTTTGTTGAAGGGATAAGTACGAGGACCCCTTTAATTTCTCAGCTGTTGCTTTTTATTTATTTTGCTGTGAATTCTATATTTTAACAGATATTTTTTGAGCAGGCCTATACATATATTTTTTTTTTACACCATTATTTTTAAATAAATTAATTTCTTGATTATAAACTTGCATCAATTTATAGCCAGCATAATCATCTTATTCACTTTGCATTTGACTAATTTTTTTTTTCTACTTTAAAGCTACTGTATTGTAAAGGATATTCTTTTTCCTCTTATGCTAACTTAGAATACGATTTTGAAATTTAAAAAAAAAAAAATCTAGCTTTTTTTTTTTAAACATTTTTTTTATATGTTCTGCACCATATTTATAATTTTTTTTTTCTACTTTAAAGCCACTGTATTGTAAAGGATATTCTTTTTCCTCTTATGCTAACTTAGAATACGATTTTGAAATTTAAAAAAAAAAAAATCTAGCTTTTTTTTTTTAAACATTTTTTTTATATGTTCTGCACCATATTTAAGTAAAATAAGTTAACATATATTTAAAAAAATAGTTTTCACCAATTACAATGATCCTATTTAATTAAAAAGTGACGTACATATTTGATCTGCAGTACGAATACTGGGCTTTTCTTTTAGAGGAAAGCAAAGTTTGATCAAATTAGATTAGCAAGATCTGATGCAGATAAAATATTATAGGATTTCATCTTTTTTAGCTGTTGAATAGTTAAATATAAGTGTATCACAAAGCACATTTACATTGTTAAAAAAAACAATTTAGGAATAAAATGTAAAAATATATAAATAATAATATAAATATAATCTACTGATATATTAGATTTAGAGGCTTCTTTGCTCAAATAGTTTTTTTTTGTTTGTGTAATGGTCAATGCCAAAAAACTAAATAAAAACATCCAACCAGCCACAAACAAATATGTGTACGATTATCCACAAACTGTACATCAGAGATTACAAATCTTCAATTTGATTGTCGGCTCAGTACACAACATTGCATTCCAAAGTAGGATGATGCTTTAAAATAGTCTTGTGGAGAAATGTTTAACAGCGCATTCCAAGTTTTGGGTAGAAGCATCAGCTGGGAAAAGATGTTTTTTTATTGTGTCCATGTTGTAATCCACTGGTCTCCAAACTTTTGCTGGTTGGCGTTATAGTTGATTTTTGCATACACAACAGATTTACATCAAAGTTCAAAGGCGTAAATTTTATACGTTTTTTTAAAAGTGTATGATAAACCTTGCTGGCCCTGCTGACAGCCTTAAGTTTATTCTACGATTTGAAAGAAATGTTAATTGAAGGATATGATATATTTGTATCTTGTCCGCAAGCATAGTTTTGAGACCAAGGTGGTAATCAATTCACTTTTATAGGTTAGGAATGTCGTTTAATTTTTTTCTCTTGTTTTGTTAATTAAATCCCTACTCCTTCTTAGAACCATAGTCACTTTCGGATTCGGTCATTAGTGGTTGATCACTCCAGACCCACCTGTCTGTTGATCCCCCAGCTGTCTGTTATTGCACAGCTGTCTGTTGTTGCACAGCTGTCTCTGTCATAACATTTCAACTCATAAAATTCTGCATCCAGTAACACCACTAAATATAACATAGACCTTAAGAGAAATGCATGGCTCCATCCAAACTTTATTGGTTTCAGCTTACCAGATGCTAGTAGAGGAGAACTCTTCCCTGGTGCATGTGTAGAGCTGCACATTGTGAAAGTTTTTAATGTATTTTTAAAAGTTTTCTAGAGACTCAACTATCAAAAAAAATCTTCACGATTTCAGATATTAAAACTTGTCCATACAATACAGAAGGCAACAGAATTCTAAGTTACTGATAGAATTTTTGAGGAAAACACCAGTTCTTTACCTCAGCAACTAAAAACAGAATTTTTTAAAGGCAATATGTCAACCAAAATGTATCGGCTTTCAGCTCTACATGGCACCTGTCTCCAAGGGACGATGTTTTAATTTCATCTGGAGGTTTCTCTGGTGAAGCTACGAAGCCTGGGGAAAAAATTTCTTTTGGAAAAGTAGCTTTTTTTTCCACTCAGCAGATCCCCACTCTTCACTTACCCTTTTATGCCGAGGGAAATATATAAATGCTTGTTTGGCCTGGGAGCTACCTGGTGATAATTTATGCCCTGGTGGTAGTTAAACATCCAAAAGTGCCTTTAGGAAGTGATAGATAAACTCCATAATGAACTTTTTATATTAAAATTACATTAAATGTGTTTAAACTTCAATTTTTTTTTTCAAATAACATCAGTTTAAATACGTGATTAAAGTTTTCTAACATTTTAATTTATTTGTATGTTTCCATCAGTCGTGACTTTTCTCATAATATATGTATTAAATTTTATTGCGTTTTAAAAAAACAAACTTTTGATACTTCAAAGTTATTAAAAAGAAAGAATTGTTCATATTTATCTTTCTTTGTTCAGTAACTGTGATTTAGTGGCTTTGTGGCCCCCTTAACTTTTTTGAGTGACTTTAATTTCTAATTTATTAGCTATTTATGTTGTCAATGATCAAAGTACTTGCAATATGTAATCCATGACTTATGATATTGTATTTGTGACTTAAGAAATTTGTTGACTTGATAGATTTAGTTCAGTCTTTTTCCTTTTCAAGTCTAGTAATGGTCTCCCAACAGCAATGATCTCTTTGCTTTAATAATTAAAATAAGTAAGAGTATTTTAACTGCAGTTGGTACCTTACTGGTAAAAGTTCATGAACAAACTTAACCATATATGACTTTCAAGCATGTGTCCCTTTATTAAATGACATGACGTGTGCACCATAATGCTTCAGCAATAACCAATTCTTTTTAACATCGGGTGGCTGAAAACGCACTAGTGGGGCACCAAGAAGTTTCTTTCATAACTCGGGGACTACCTACCTTTGTTCCTCTTGATGTGAGCTAGTAGGTTACATAGCTGACTTTTTCTTAATGTTGCATGATGCTTTTGGTTGTGTTGTGTGAGACATAGTTGCATCTTGCTGTTTTGTACACATAGTAAACAATGATATACATACATTGTGTGAAGTCTGAGCATTTTTTGGAGGGCAACTCCTAGAAAAAATTATTTTATTTCAGGATTTACACAGTATCCATATGAGGGTATCCATCCATTATCTATATGGGTATACTTGGCATTTAGATATCCATGCATGCGTATACATCGACTATTTGAATGGGGTTTGTCTACTATTCTTAAGTATACATCCATTATCTTTATACAGGTTTACTTCCATTATTCATATGGGGTGGGTCTACTATTTGTGTGGGGTATACAGACCTGTTTACCCTCAAACTCTTAAAATCGTACAATATCATCACAAAGTCATATTCATAGTAAAAAAACATACAGTATATACAATCTATACACCTCAAAATCGTACATTGTACGCCAAAATCGTAAGAGTAAACAGGTCTGGGTATATCATCCACTTGGTGGTATACATCCATTATCAAGATCAGGTATACAGCTATTGTTAAACATTTCTTGAAAAAAACAAAAATTATGACTGAAATAGGAGTGCATATCATGTTGATTGTATGCAGTAAGAAAATGGAAAATAACATGTTTTACCATAAGTTGCAACTGATATTGCGTTTAAAAGGTGTCTCAATTATGGAGTTCTGGGTTCATGAAAAAAAAATGTAACCTGAATAAGTATTTCTTGAAGAAAAAAAAAATTGTTTCAAATTTTTGCTCAGATTATAAGGGAATTATAAATTCATTGTTATTTTCTTAGGCTTGGACAAGTTTTGATTGAGTTTTAGAATAGCTATTTGATTATTATTTTTTCTAGTGTGACAAGCTTTGATATGCAGCTACTTATTACAGTGTGCGTGTGGTTTATAGAAAGCAGCTATAACATAGGTTTGCTTCTTGTTAAAAATATATTGTAATTTCCCTTTTAATAACGCAATTTTACAGTCAAATAGCTAAACACCGCAGTAGCTTCTCCTTGAAAAGAAAAGAAATACTAAAATACCAAACGCGACACCTCACAATATATTTTTGTTATCTGTCTAATCATGTGACTTTCTAATATCAAATGTTACCCTTGTGAATACTTTTTTGAAATTAGCTGTCATGTAAAAATTCTATTGTATTCAGATTTTGCTATAGGATTACTCAAGCCAACACCACCATGCATTCCGTCCCTCACCACAGCAACACACTGCACCTAGTTTTTTCTTTTAAAAGTTTGCTTCTTTAATTCTTGAATTACAGTACAGCTTATCAGATCATTGCATTTGATTTTATCCTACCTGAATTATGAATGATTTTGGGATTTTATTTGCAGCCGTTGATTGGAAGTCTTTGACCATCCCGGCATCCCTCCCGGTAACCACTGACTATTTCCCTGACCGCAGGAGTGTGCAGTACGACTATGTCGTCTCAGAGTATGAGCTGCTTCCGGAGATCGTCAATAAAGAAATATGGGCCTCTTGGCCAAGGTGAAGGATTTTTTTCCCCCTCCCTTTGCTTTGACTTGAAAGGTTTTCTTGTGTCAAAACATATTTAAGTGAATGATTGGAATAAATTGGGTGTAGTAACTTACGCCGAAGTGGATACAGAATATGAATTAGAATGACAATGGATGTGTCATACTATATTTATATATTACAACATAATATATTTCAAGTTGTTAACCACCTGTGAAATGGGTAAAACAATTCAAGGAAAATATCTCATTGAAAAGCAGTGGTTCTTAATCTAGCTTTGGCAGAACCCTGGGGGAGCCTGTTTGATGAAAGGATAAAGAACAGAACTCAGAATAATTATGAATCGGGATCGTCAGAATATTTTATGAACCACTTGTTCATTTTTAAAAGTATTTTTTATTTTAATAATTTTTCTTGCCAAGAATATTTCAACATTAGTAACTTTCCCCATTCAGTATCTGCCTTACAAAAAATTAAGTCAAATGACCTACTTTAGGAGGCAGTTACTGGATTGAAGTAACCATATTAAGAGAATCTCCCTGCCAACCTTTGTGCCTAATTAAAGTGATGATAACAGGTCCCCCAGCAGTGAAGACAAGACTCTGATGGTCTACCGCCGTCACCCGTTAACCACTCACCAAGTCTTCATGGAGCTGGTGTCGCAGCGTCTTGGACAGGTCAGTTATAGTTTGAGCTAAGAACTAGCATTTCTTATTTAATTGATGTGCAATAGTTGTTTTATTAGGTTTAATGGATTTAGGTCAAAGTGTTTTATTAGTTGTAAAGGATTTGGGTCAAAGTTTTGTATAACTGCAGGACTTTATTTATATATCTTCATCAAAGACGCTACAGCCCATATCGGGCCATGGCCAGCTCCACCACATCCTTCCATTCGGAATGACCCATGGCTTTCCGCCTCCATTCGTGAACCCCCAACTAATTTATAACTAATTATATAAGTAAGAATCAATGCAGCATTTAAAAAAAAATTGTGATAGCAATGGAGTAGATTTATTATAAGTAAAAGACTTGATTTATTTATGAAGTCATAGTGCCAGGACCACACCGTTCATTTATGTATGAAGTCATAGTGACAGGACCAAACTGTTCATTTATGTATGAAGTCATAGTGCCAGGACCAAACTGTTCATTTATGTATGAAGTCATAGTGACAGGACCAAACTGTTCATTCATGTATGAAGTCATAGTGCCAGGACCAAACTGTTCATTTATGTATGAAGTCATAGTGACAGGACCACACCGTTCATTTATGTATGAAGTCATAGTGACAGGACCAAACTGTTCATTTATGTTTTAAGTCATAGTACCAGGACCATACCGTTCATTTATGTATGAAGTCATAGTGCCAGGACCACAGTTCATTTATGTATGAAATCATAGTGCCAGGACCACACTGTTCATTTATGTATGAAGTCATAGTACCAGGACCACACCGTTCATTTATGTATGAAATCATAGTGCCAGGACCACACTGTTCATTTATGTATGAAGCCATAGTGCCAGGACCACACTGTTCATTTATGTATGAAGTCATAGTGCCAGGACCACACCGTTCATTTATGTATGAAGTCATAGTACCAGGACCACACTGTTCATTTATGTATGAAATCATAGTGCCAGGACCACACTGTTCATTTATGTATGAAGCCATAGTGCCAGGACCACACTGTTCATTTATGTATGAAGTCATAGTGCCAGGACCACACCGTTCATTTATGTATGAAGTCAATAATACCAGGACCAAACCGTTCATTTATCTATGAAGTCAATTGTACCAGGACCACACCGTTCATTTAGGTATGAGGCCATAGTGCCAGGACCAAACAGTTCATTTATGTATGAAATCACTGGGCCAAGACCAAAGCAAAAACTTTCAATGAGTATGATGGGTAACTTGAATAACTCTTTAGTCCAGCGGTTCTCAACTTGTGGGTCGTGACCCCTTTTGATGTCAATCGACCCATACACAGATCATCTGAAAACATATATTTATGGAGTAGCATCGAAAAAAAAATTATTTATGGGGGTCACCACAACATGATGAGCTGTATTAAAGGGTCGTGGCATTAGGAGCGTTGAGAACCACTGCTTTAGTTGAACCTAGGTCAGTGAATGGCCCTCCTTTAGGAGACCCTAGGTCGATGAATGGCCCACCTTTAGGAGAACCTATGTGTGTGTCTAGGTATTCCAAATAAATGTTGTCATCAAATTTTAAAAATTGTATGACTATAAAAACTAGCCACTAACTCAATGCAGGGTCTGATTCCCCTTGGGCTTAGGAAACCCTAAAGTAGATAAAGAACAAAATGATTGAGAAAATGTAGTTTTCCACTACAGGAAACTCTTCTAAGATTAGCTTTGAACAACCCACATACCTTGAAAGTTGAGAAATGTTTTTAAAATAAGGTTTTTCTTCAGGCTTCACTCAGGTGAGACATTTTTTATTTTTCTGTGTTTACTCACATAAGGGTTTCCAACTCATTACCAAGAAGAAGCCACGTAGAGAGGCCGATTCCAAGCCCTCTGCCGTGACACAGTCGACCCAGTTCATGAGAGCCGTCAAACAAGATCCCATGGTTAGTTAAGCAAGTTTTACTGTCATACTCCTAATTTTATTGTAATGACATCCTGCCTTTTGTCGTTTCCAGTTTAATTTGTGTGTGTGGGGATCTACTTTTTTGTGTGCCAGGTTGTTTGTTTAGTGTTCCATACTTCTTAGTCTATTCAGGGCATTTTGGACCACTCGTCCTTTAGGGGGGAGGGGGCCTGACGTCTTTGCTCCCCGTGGCCTGACGTCTTTGCTCCCCATGGCCAGACGTCTTTGCTCCCCGTGGCCATGATTTGGGTTTCTTTCAATTTGTTCCTGATGTGCCACTGACTGCAGTAGTTTCCTCATTAAGGATATGATTCTATGGGATGATTAGTTGCCCTTTAGAAATTTTAGAGATTATGCCTTGCCTTCTTCTTTTGACAACGCACTGAAAAGCTCTCACTTAATATAATTAGAAGCTGACTTTTATTAATTTGAAAAATTCTTTTCATTAAACTCCTCAAATTTTATTTGGTACAGGAGGAATACTACATGAGCATTGGCAGGATTTACCATAAAGTGACCTTCAATGGCCAGGCCATCAAAGTGACACGCTACAGGCCTAGGTAAACATCTTTTTACTTAGATGAGAAGGTCTCAAACTTGTAGTCCACACCCCGCCCATTTTAGCCCTCCAAGCTTTGAAAGTGATTTTTTTAAATCGTCATATGTAGAGATTAATTCAGGTGAGCATAATTTTTTTTCTTTGCAGGCATCCCAGCCCCCAGCTCCACTACGAGTACAGGTACAGGTTTCAAGCTCCCGACTCAAACAGCTACGATGTGTCCTGGACCAAGTTCTCCAACGAAAAGCTGGAAAACTACAACTGGAATCATTTAGATCAGTACATCTGCACTCAAGGCGATTGGGAATATGGCCTCATTGACGTAAGTGGTCCGTAACAGTTATTGGGTGGACTTGGCGTATGGTTTAATTGCTTGTACCTGTGCTGGGATGGGCCGAGTTTAACCATTTTTCTTAATGGCCCCAGCCGGCGCGTGCCCAAGCGGCTGTCTGGGCGGGCAGATAATGGGACTATTTATTTATGTTTCGGCTGTCGGGGCGGGCAGATAATGGGACTATTTCTTTATGTTTCAGTCGTTGAAGTATTGGAGGGCAAGGTTCTTTCTGCTCCCTTTGAACAACTCGGCCACCAAGAAAATCATAGACAAGGAAACAAGCAGGTGAATAAGGAACTTCAATTAAGCACTTTTAATTTCAATAAAAAGTTTTATTTTTTAATTCTGAGGAAAGGAAAAAAAAAAAACCCAAGTAAATCAATGTTGTCTCGCTTTTTGAAATGTTTAACCCTCTTGAGATCAGCCGAGAGTGTTATACCAAAAAAGGATGATAATAAAAGCCTTGATATTGGCTGGCTGTTCTTCATACCAGCTAATCAGATTGTTTCTTGCATTTCTTGCTCATCTCACCATTTTAATGGCATAATTCCTTTGATATTTTATGATGTTCTGTCATTTTATATAAATTTTTGTTTTTGGTACCTAGTGACGACTATAAATGCTAAAAATATTTGACCTTGAACTATACCAAAAGGCATTAGCAGTCCCAGGGGAATATTTTATGCAGTTTTTCACATTGAATCTCATTCAAATCTGCGTAAGGCTTCAAAAATCATAAAATTTAACTAAAGGACTCTGTCTTGTTGGCACAGATATTCCAAAAATGGAATATAGATCAATTTGAACGGGTGTGGCTTTTGTTTAATATGCATGTACTTTATCAATGCTTAAGATATAGAAATTGAAGTTTTTCCATTTCCAGATGTGTATTAGATTTAATATCTCTGCTGAAATAATTTAACTGCCTCACCATATATCTATGAGTTGTGAAATCTGTAGAGAAATAAATAAACTGCCTCACTATCTCCAATCAGATGTGATATCTATGAGGAAAAGTCTGTCAAGGAGCACAAGCACCTCATCAATGGCTTTGTCAGGTTCCTGGAGACCATGAATAAATTAAAAAGGACAGTCACGCAGCGCAAGTCGAAGGCTGAGGCTGCGGCAGCCACCGCCAGTTCCAACACATCCACACCAGGAGGTGAACCGAGCCCAAGGAAAACAGAGGCTGACGGGTTAGTAAAAATGAACTTCTGGAATTATACATTTGGAAAAACTAGTTTTGGCCCTAAATGTTCTCCAAATAATATTTAATTTCATTTCAAGTGGTAAAGAAAAACATTGTCAAGGGAGATAACAATATATTTAATTTCATTTCAAGTGGTAAAGAAAAACATTGTCAAGGGAGATAACAATATATTTAATTTCATTTGAAGTGGTAAAGAAAAACATTGTCAAGGGAGATAACAATTTTAAATGTGTTTTGAGTTTTACTAGAGGCAGTACAAAAGTGGGTGTGTGTTTCCAATCAATGCCAGTCCCATTCAATCGTCAGCTTACACATGGGTCCCACAGATTGAAAAAATATATAATATTAATGGTTTTTTTCAGCTTTGGAGTCTTTTTTAAAAAAAATAGATTTAATCTGCTGAATTATCCTGGAGTTAATTTAAAAAAAAACAAAACATTATGACTGAAACTGACAACTTTGTTAATGTTTCCTAAACTTAGACTTGAGCTCAAACTTTATTCATTTGTTTTTCTGAAGTCTTATTTGAATTACTTCTTTTGTTGATGCTAACATTTTTAAAAATTTAAGAAAAAAATGTTTGTGTGAAGATGTCCAACACGCACTTTACATTTTAAAACGGCTGCAATGCTTTCAAAGTCAAATGATATGAATTGCATTGGACAGATTTCATTGCTGTTCCATTTGGCAGAAGCCCGTTGGATGTCTTCGCATGTGTCAACTCTAATAAAAAATTCAGATCACCTTAACTGCTTTTTATCATTTAAGGTTCTTTGATTTTGATTTCAGCAGTAAAGAGAAAGACGACAAGCTGAATGCCACCGCCCCATCTGCCAGGATTGTAGAGTTACTTCTAGATCCTGTGTAAGTCAATTAATGGGATTGTGACAGAAATAAAGTCAATTAATGGGATTGTGACAGAAATAAGGAAGTCAAATTTAAAAAAAAAAATAATTAATGCAATTCTTTAAGTAAACCAAGCTGAGCCAAATTTAATTTGAAAGAAACAGTTAACTCATTTCAAATAAATGGCCATGGTTTCAATATTTTAAACAAACATTTTATAAATGTGGAGCTGTAATAAAAAAAATCCCTGCCTAACTGGGCATGAGGATAAAAGATGATACATGAGGGGAGCTGTTTAAACCCTGTGAAGGAAATAATGGAACACCCAGTAATATGTGTTAAGCTTGAAATGAAAAGACTGGACATCTTCAAATCCAAGCCAAAGCGTATCTTGTTCCACTATTTCCTTGGCTTGAGACAAAGGTAACCGCTAATTTGGTGTGCGCATCTTCCTCCCTCCCTCCCTGAGTCTCATTCTGTGCGTTACACTCAGTGGGCTTTCATGCTTTTCTTTATTTTTTTCTTCTTTCTCGATTATTTCTTGATTCTTTCTTGATTCTATAGTCAGGGCATCAGCTTGATTCAAAACCAGGCAGGCCTGCCCCTCAACTCCTTCATCTCGGCCGAGGCGGTGGAGTGGTGCAGGTCCAGGATTGTTGGGGTGGACACTGTCAAGCAGGCTGTCACTGTCATGCAGGTAAGGTGGTGTTCGGTCACTCATTAGTGTGTGTGTGTCTGTGGGGGAGAGGGGTGGCAGTGTGTGGTCAAAGAGAGTGTGGCTACTTGGGCCTTGCTCCAGCCACACAAGCTATAAACTTATGTAACACACATAAAGGAATTTGCATATACAAAACATAATTAAACACACTACACTGAAACAGCATATACTCACATGGTTATAATGTTATTTTAACTCTAACATTATTTCCTTCTATTAAACACACTGCACTGAAACAGCATATACTGACATGGTTGTAATGTTATTTTAACTCTAACATTATCTCCTTCTATTAAACACACTGCACTGAAACGGCGCATACTAACATGGTTGTAATGTTATTTTAACTCTGACATTATCTCTTTCTGCTCCCAGCGTCTTATGGATGATAAAATGGTTTTTCACTGTTCTGGCAATGCCCAACATCATTTCATCTATGGATTCTACCTTTACTATGTGCCGCAGAAACCCAGAACAGGTATTTTCAGAATTTTTCCATGCCAATAGTTTTTGTACCCAGGCAAGCAGTTCCCTCAAACCCTTTGCTTTCTTCCCTAATTTTTTCCCCCCAAAAATATAATTTTGTGCATGCCACTGATCATTGTAGAATAAGTTAGGCTATGGCACCCTTTCAATAGAATATTTCATATAGTTTGATCTGATAGCAAGCTCCCCCGGCTGTTGTAAAATAAAAAAATCAGTCTTCTCTTAAAGTCAATGTTGTCATTAAGTACATGTGGTGATGCATGATATCAGAAATTGCGCTTGGGAAATGCTATTTGTGTTTGGCATTTAAATTCTACAAGTTTTAAACATTCTCTGAATCAGAATGTTTATCCAAATGCTGAAAATGAATATTTACCTTGTAATTAAACACATTTCCATTTATTTGGATCAATACAGAAATGTTATTTTATCTAATTCTTATCAATAAAGGAATGTTATGTTATCAATTTCTTAAGAAAATAAGAATGTTGTCTTAACTAATTCTAATTAATAAAGGAATGTTATCTTATCAATTTCTTATCAATAAAAGAATGTTATCTTACCTATTATCTTATCGTTTGCAATCTCAACTCAGCCCAGGGAGGTGAGACGAGCTCTCACCCCACTTGCCATCTCAACACCCCGGGTGCCAACTTCAACTACCTGTTTCAAAATGAGTGGTGTGAGGTTTCTGTGCTTCCTATCCAAGAAACAGATGTGCATGAAGGTTAGTGAGACATGAAGGTGAGACATTCATGAAGGTTAGACAGACTTGCAGGGGAGACAGACTTGAAGGGGAGACAGACATGGAGGTGAGACGGACATGGAGGTGAGATAGAGGTAAATGTGAGACGGACCGGAGGTTGAGACAGATGTGAAGGTGAACAGTTTTTTTTGGACAGACATGAAGGTTAGACAGTTGTTTTTGTCTGAAACATTGGAAAGTAAATATGAAATGGGTTAAAAGGGAGGGAGGGGGGGAGGCTGAGATCATGTCATGAGAAAGGAAATAAGAAACACACGCCAGGGTGAACACCGCAGAGAAGACAAAAAATGGAATGCATTTGTTGGCAAAACGCTTTCTTCAGCCAAAAATGTTGCAGTAAAAATGAAACATTAGAAATGTATAAAACCTATCTTGTTGGGATGGACGCTGCGTCAAGTCAGAAAGGGAACTGGTCATGATCCAAGAGGTTGACATCTTAAATTATCTAATTTCTGGAACTACCCAAGAGTTTTCGCCTTGATTTTTTTTTCTCTCACCTTTGATAGCATAAGTGAAAGATAGGTTGATAGCATAAGTGAAAGATAGGTTGATAGCATAAGTGAAAGATAGGTTGATAGCATAAGTGAAAGATAGGTTGATAGCATAAGTGAAAGATAGGTTGATAGCATAAGTGAAAGATAGGTTGATAGCATAAGTGAAAGATAGGTTGATAGCATAAGTGAAAGATAGGTTGATAGCATAAGTGAAAGATAGGTTGATAGCATAAGTGAAAGATAGGTTGATAGCATAAGTGAAAGATAGGTTGATAGCATAAGTGAAAGATAGGGAAATAAAAATGTATTTTACCATAAACCAAGGTACGTCTGTGGAGGAAACTAAAGAAGGGGATGAGGCCACACTCAGGTTCTTTGTCCCTGTGGATAGCAACCGCAAGCGGTCAGATTCTATGCTTCAGCCAGAATTTGAAGACTGGAGGCTACTCACTGGTCAAGGCAAGCCAGGCCCCGGTCAACAACCAGGTATGTCTTGCCTGTGGGAAATTAATAAAAATGTGCACACGGTTTATGCCAGCAAAAAAAAATTATCCCAACAATATTAATGTTAACAGTAATATTATAGTTGGGAATTTCTGAGAGCGCATGATCTATTTCATAGTTGAGTGAATACTTCAGGAAAACTTTTTTAAAAAAAAACAAACCGCGAACAAAATATTTATTTTGAAGTAGTTCTTAAACTTAGATGACTGATATATATTACCGCATGGAATGTAATAAGCCTGAGGTTTCAGCTTAGCTTGTGCTTTCTGTGCGAGCACCATTTGATCTGAACTTGCAGTGTTTTTATAACACGTTATCATCTTTTTGTTGCTTCTTAGAGGAAAATTATAACTTTATTACCCCACCCAAGAGCAGTGGTTGCCTACACGTGGCAGCATGAAGCACTAGTGTGGCACAAGAAGTGGACAGGTGCGGGATGGGGAAGAAGGACTCAAAAGCTATTTAAAAAAAAAAAAGGAATTTGATTCTATTCATTTCTACCTGCTTCAGTCTTTAACTGTTAGATAAAGATGTTTGAAATGATGTGTCAGAGATGAAATGTGACCAATTGATGAAAGTTATATTTCAGTTTGAATCAATGATATTAACACCCTATTCCATCTGGTTCATTTAAAATATCAGACAGGAAAAAGGCAATACCAATAGGATTTTTTAATATTATAGTCAGGACCTCCCAAGACACAACATAATTGATGTCAAACAAGTTGAGATGAAATGGTTTATGGTATATTTTAGAAAAATTTTGTTTCCAAAAGTCTGATCCTAGGAAAATTTTCTGGGAACCACTGCATGTCCCTTTTCTTTGCAGATGTCAGATATAGGTCGTTCTTCACCAACATATATGCTGATAATTAAAATAATTTAAAAAAAAACAGAATTTATTATTTAATTTTTAATTTATCCGGTTCTAATTTTGACTCTTACCATGATTGGGGTGTTAGGACAAATAATGTTGCCCCATTCAATGATGTGTGTAGCACATGATCTCTTGAAAAGAGTAGATCATCTGCTGTGATTATATAGAAAGTTATATTTCTCAAACAAGGCAAAACTGTGCGTTCCAACCTGCCCTCCCAAATGTTGAATTTTAGAGGCTCACTGTCCAATTTAAAATGTTATGCTGGCCTGTCACAGCTCTAAGTTTTTGGCTGAAGCAGTAATAAACTAAAAATATAGCTGATGCTATACTGAACTTGTTTTTTTTTTTTTTAAAACTTACAAGTAAATAAATAAGTGTTTTTGTAAGTGAAGAAGCTAAACACTGCCACCTTTCCCTTCCCCTCATGCTACTTACTCTTGTCTCTTGAGGCAAGCAGCTAAGCAATATATTCAGTCTTCCTTCATAGTTATCCTTACCTTGCAGGTCGATGCCCTTTGGTTTAGAAAGTAGCTCAGACACATAATTTTCTTCTGATTTGAAATATCATATATGTCTTGTTCTGTAGGTAGTTTGCAATTATTTTCTTTGTAATGAAATAAAAGGCATTTAATGACATGCCTTACTAGCAAAAGATTGACTAAATTTGTGGCACTGTTTTCCTCTATAATTGCCAAAACTGAAATATGTATACAGATCACAACGACCCCTACAATAGTGGCGGTGTTCGAATAAATGATTACTACAAAGGTAACATTGCTTCACTGTACTCAGTGTTAACTGGTGTAGTTCTAGTTTGCTTTTTAAAAAAAAATTATTGTTCTATATTTCTTGTTTGCATTGTTTTGCTTGTTAATTTTCCTAATACTTCCTCTTTTTTAAATTATTATTTTTTGTTCTTTTCAATGAACCGGTTAATAATTTAGACTGACATGGGTTATTTCAAAGAATTGGTTTTTGATAAAGTTATGCCTACTAAATCAATATTATTTGTACTTGTCTGCCACCTGTAGCATTTTTAGATTTATTTACGGTACATAAAATACATTAAAATTCTTGTGGTTTAAGGCGTAGTTATTAAACTGGCAGACAGTTTCACTGCTTGGATTTCACCCTGAGATCCTTGAATGTGATTAACTAATTTGATCACTAACCACATAATCAGGCAGCACACTCTATCAATATTATTTGTATTTTCTTAACACTACTCGCTTCAAAAGAAAAAATAATTAAGGAAATGAAAAGATTTTATTTGAAGAAAAAAAACTCTTAAAAATATTTAACACTTATGATTTTTTTATACCAACCTCAACAAATAGAACACATTATCACATACATATTTGTATATTTAGAACTCATGTATCCTATTTAAATACATAATTTGTAATTATATAAATGTCATATTTATGTAGATGCTATTATTGTATGTGTTGATTGTATCTGCATCATGTAATCTTCTAACATACATTTGTTTGTGATGATTGTGTCCAGAATGTCTCTGATTGTTATCCAATTAGGGTTTTAAAAATTTCAACATGTCTCTTTTTGTAGTATGGAGACTTTTGTGTTGAGATAAAATTTTAAAATGGTATAAATTATAAAGTCTTAATTTCTTGGTTCTGGAATCTGGTTGGTTGTCTCAGTTTCTTTCCAGTAGGGATCATACCACTGCTGGATAACATGTTATTGACGGGATCAGCATTAAACACAATACATCCACACCTTTTGATTAAAAAGCTTTCTTCATTCAATGTCAATTCAAGTATTCAAGCGTGGATTCTGAACTTTTTAACAAGTCGCCCACAGTATGTCAACATGAACGATCAAATATCATTAACTAGAGAAATAAGTACCGGAGCGCCACAGAGATGTGTTCACTCTCCTGTCCTGTAAACAATTTATTCCAATTATATCCAGAGTCCAAGGGACACCATTCCAATCATTAAATTTGCACATGATGCAACCATCATTCAATTTCCCCTTAAGATATTAAGCCTATGCCGCAACTTAGTTACAAGTTTTATCTGCTGGTAAGATAAAAATTTTCTTCAGTTGAATGTCTCAAAAACCAAAGAAGTGGTTGTTAATTTCCTCACCAAATTGCAGACCTAACATTAAATAATAACAGCATAGAGCAAGGAGAGACATTTAAGTACCCAGGAGTCAACATTAATAATAAGCTAACATGGCAATACCACAGCCTAATTTTATGTAGAAAAAGTTAACCGAAGACTTTTCTTTCTTTAAAAAATGACACAAGTTTGGCGTTAACAGACATAACCATATTGAAGCAGGCGTATTAAAGAGGCAGCTGTTTATTGCTCTACTCACATCAACCCACATAAAACTCTTGGCATTTATATACAAATAAGACATAAAAAATTAGTCACATGACAATTTTTTCTTTATTTATATTTATTTTGCACAAATAATTTTTTGTCCTTTCAACATTACCAAAAAAAAAAAACCCCACTTTATCAGCAAAGTGTATATTGTTACTAACTGTAAGCATTTCAAGTCAAGAGATGATGCATATGATATTTTACAGGAAAATCAAAGAAAATACAATCTACATACAATCTAAATATAATCTACAAAGAGTTATTGAAATAATTGACGGGGGGGGGGGGGGGGGGGGGTGGGCTATACTCACGTCGAGCGTCAACATTCTGAACCAGTTGGTACAGAGGTTATTTCGGAAAACCTATATTTTGGATAACCAACACCCTTACAGGAAAGGCTAATGATAGGAAGTTAGTGAATGGAATACAATATATTCTTATCTTATAGTTATAATTTTTTTATCCTGTGTATTAATCACTAGCGGTCCGCAGGTCGTAACAAGGTCAGCAGATTGATGTCAAAATTCGTTAAGGACCGGATATTATTTTAAAAATAGATGACTCACGCTATTATCTCGGCAGCATTATCACAGTGCAGTCACTGCATGTTCAGTAGTATCTACATCTTAATCTTACCAGGATTGTGCCGCAGCTGTCACAATTATTCTCTGGTGTTTGGGCACCAATGCTCCGTGCCATGTTTATAGGATAAAAATAATAAAAAGACAGGCAGCTGGGATGGTGGACATTTTGGATAACTGGCATTCGTTCGGAACATAGACGCTTGACAGCATTGTGTTTTTGTCTTTTCTTGGATGGACGTGCACAACGGTGCTTGAAGTAAACCCTTGGCAAACATTAAAGAAACAACAACAAACACAAACAACAAACAATTATGGGGAGTTATACTTTAGGGATGAAAATCACAGCAATTTTTTGCTCTTCTTCTTCTTAAAAAATCTATAACCCTAATCCCAGCACATAAATGGTTGTACCATCATCTTAAACATGTCAGCCAATTTTATGTTACTTTTATTCATGAAGTTTTGTCCAATGTTGAAAATGAAAATCTGACTGATTTATACATAGGTAGTGCCTATTGGGAAAATACCCCTACATTTCTTAAACTCATATTTTCTTATGCTGAGTTTAACAGAAAAATTTAATCTATTATTTCCAAGACCATTCCATTATGGAAAAAGTGAGGGGGAGAGGGGTAGGGAAGTAGAGATATAGTAGATTTGGAACAATACTATTTGTTTGTTATTTCCCCAATGATGTATTTTGTATCTGGGTCAGTGGCACTGTGCGTTAACATTTTATCTTACTTTTACTTCTGCAATGTGTCTGTCTTTATTGTTGCATGCCTTTATTAACAACACTATTGGTGTATCAGGGCCATGTTGGTTAGGTGTATCAGGGCAGTAATGGTTAGGTGTATCAGGGCTGTGGTGGTTTGGTGTGTCAGGGCAGTAATGGTTAGGTGTATCAGGGCTGTGGTGGTTAGGTGTATCAGGGCAGTAATGGTTAGGCGTATCAGGGCAGTAATGGTTAGGCGTATCAGGGCTGTGGTGGTTAGGTGCATCAGGGCGTAGTGGTTAGGTGCATCAGGGCCATGGTGGTTAAGGTGCATCAGGGCATAGTGGTTAGGTGCATCTGGGCCGTGGTGGTTAGGTGTATCTGGGCCGTGGTGGTTAGGTGTATCTGGGCCTTGGTGGTTAGGTGTATCAGGGCCGTAGTAGTATTTGTGAGGACCCCATTGTATCACTTAAAGAGAAAGGTTTTAATCCAGTGGCAGAACTGGTAGGGGGGTGGTTGGTTTGGTGCCGCCTGGGACAAGCCAAGCTTTTTTGCTCTCTTCCACAAAAAAAACAACAAGTTTGCGTATGGCTGAAAAATGCTGCCCCTCTATAAAAGGGGAAAAAAAGAGCCGCAGAAAGCTGAGGGTGACATTAGACAAAAAGGTCCAAAATTGTTTTGATCTAATCTAGTACTAAAGGAATTGAGCAGCCACCCCCACAGCAATGAAACTCAATGGGGCCCTGATTATTATGCATGTTTGAATCTTGACATTTCTTCAAATTCTTTCTCAAGAAATGCTATACATCATCTTTGGGTATCCATACTATTGATTTTTTTTACTGGTAATATATATTATGACATATCTTTTTCAAATTTGGGTGGACAATTTTTAAATATTTTTTTTGCCTGCATTTTTAACATTTTTATTTTCAAATTTTAGTTGAATTTTCAAGTGTTCATTGTTCTAAAATTGGATGTCAGTGACAATATTTTAAGATAGTCATTTACATTTCTTGCATTCCTCACACCAGGGGTACTCAAAGTTTTTCCTGAGGGCCATCTGGCCGGCTAGGTCATTTCAAATGTCTCGGTCATTTTCCCTCATACTCGTTAAATTTACAATGAATGACAAAAGTGTCCAATGGATGCTATGGGGACGCAGTCCGTAGTTGCCTAGACTTGTAGACAAGGTGCGATGCCCCCAGCAGTGGGTTCGGCCCTCTGGGCATCTCCAAAACCAAATCTGGCCCCTGGACCAAAACGTTTGAGTACCCCTGCCTGATGCTGCTCATTTATCCATCTTTTGTTGCAAGTAACACACAACCTTATTCTTTTACCAGTATGAATTTAAGAGAAATTTTCTTTCCATTGCAAAAAATGTAAAAACTTTTAAGAATTTCTTTACCATAATATAACACATCACCACATCACACTCTCAACTTTCATGCCAGTAATTCTACATTCCATCAATAGTTTAATCTATATTCACTTAAGTTGTTCTTAAGTGAAGGAATATTAAATTAATACAAAGCTGGTAACTACTCTTAAACTTAACATATTTTTCTTACATAAACATGATAAAACAGCTCCATAGCTCTCAAGCCATCTTATCCCATGTGTAACTTCCTGACCCTACTCTCTAGCCACCTTGTTGCACAAATACACCAATGTTGAGGTGGACCCCCAGCAGAAGAGCGACCGGAATGAATTTGCCATAGCCAGATACCACGCCTACTACAGTCCCAAGTGTGCATTTGAACTGGAACTGCAATGGATGGTAGCCACAGGCTGCATTATGGGAGATCTGGTAAGGGTTTTTGGGTTTGTCATCATCACTATTTCCAAATGCTTTGGGGGAAACATCTATTCATTGCAGTTTATTTCATTGCAGAATATAATCCAAAAAAGGTCCAAAAAATACGGAATTACACATTGTCAAGAGTGCAGTAAAAATAAGGGCAGAGTCCAAAAATAAATGCTCAAAAAATTAGGTTGTAAAAAATGTATAGGAGTCATTAAGATGAATTGTTATTTCTGTCTTATTCATAAAAACATACCTATGAAAAAAGGTAATGCAGTTTAGTTTGCATGTCTAGACACATTTTTAGGAAAATATTCTACTGGTACCTAAGCTAAATTTCAAAATGTCATGTTCTTTAAATAGAGAACCAATAATTCATCTTAATATGCTATTTAAACAAAATAGTAATACAAAAATTTCTTTTCAGAATTCAATATTAAATTTCATTCCTTTAATTGAACACCATTATCAAACGTCAATTTAACATTTAAAAACAAAAAAATACAACACAACTTTAACTTCCTTTATCATCAGGTCTATGCCTACGCCAGGAGAGCCTCCTTGTGTGGATTTCATCTCATTCCTGTACCATGTGACCCATTTGCCTTGCCCTACACCGATAACTCTGACCCTCTTCGAGGCCCCATCTTTGTTCCCCTCAACATGGAAGCCTTCGGAGAAGACCTTTTCAAAGGTAGGTCATGTGAGCTGTACAGATAATGATGTAAGGCAGGCCTGGGCTACATGTGGCCCGCCAGCACCCACTTTGTTTCCCGCAAGGTAACGAAAAACTCTTTATTCTTATTATTTTCTTAATAGCTTTCCCCCTGACCTATATTCTTTTGGCCTGCACAAGTCCTGTCTTATTTTCTTTTGGCCCGCATAAGTTTTTCATATTGTATTACGGCCCGCCTTAATTTTGAGTTGTGCAGGCCTGATGTAAGGAGATGCATGGGGAGGGGGGGAGTTTTACAAGTGTAATTGATACAAGCAGACAAGGAGTCCAAAATGTTTTGTGACATAAAATCTGATTTTGTGAATGCTACCTCAAAATGTTTTGTGACATAAAATCTGATTTTGTGAATGCTACCTCAAAATGTTTTGTGACATAAAATCTGATTTTGTGAATGCTACCTCAAAATGTTTTGTGACATAAAATCTGATTTTGTGAATGCTACTTCAAAATGGTAGCAGCCTGAGTCATAATAAAAAATATTTTAAAAACGCTTCAATAAATTCTTCCTTCAGCTATGAGAATATTGTATTATCAATGTTCAAAAAGTTTTTTGGATTTTTTCCTTACAGATCTCTCCAACCAGACAAGACAAGAGATGTTGTTTGTCATTCAAGATGCAATTATCAAAAGGTTTGATATTTTTCTCATAAATTAAAAAAAAAAAATTTCATTTCCATGGGGACGGCACCCTAAATATAACCTGTTTATAAATGCTCTGTTGAAACATATTGTAATGTGTGACAGCTCTTTTCAGGGATTCACAATTTAAAATAATAAATGTAGGATCACTGACTGAAGGAATTGTTTAAAGTAAATTTCTTGCCATTGTTAATGCAAGGTTCATCAAAGTTAACAGATTTTAAAAAATTTACACTTTAAGAAAAGATCTTATTATTCTTATAATGTTTTTAATTCATTCAAAAAAAATTTATTTTAGATTTGGTTTTCTACCGGCAAGTGTCAAAGTCCCAGAAGATCCGTCACATCTGGCGGGAGAGAAGGCAAACACCAACCATCAATACGTCCACTGTACAGCTGGCATGTTTATTCTAATTCCTGAGAGTGTTCCCGCACTCCCAACTGGGCAAAACATTGGCCAGTTAAAAAAATCATCTTCAGAGCTTCACCAGCTTTACATAGCTCGCCAGGGCAGACCAGAGTCTGCTCCCAATGGTGTCGGGTTCCTGTGGTCATGGAACTACATGTCGTCTAAAAGATGGCGGTCTGCCAACACCGGAGATGAAGCTTTCCAGGACTTCATGCTCGCAGATTTCAGGAGCTTCTGCTCCAATGAAAACAAGAGACTGTCCGAATTTTGGCAGAAATGCAGTGGCTCCCTTCAAGCCCTGTTCTCTGCTGAATAGGATGGTCATGTCTGATGAGCAACATAATTTCAGCTAATTGCAGTATTATCCAAATATTATTTGATCCACATTATGGATTCGCATTAATTTGTATCTGTGGGCCGTTGATTGTTTGCATAGCCGTACTGGAAAAGGGGTAGACAAAAATAACAACAAAAGAGGAATTAATCAACTACTTGGATTGTCTACACAAATCTCAGAATCTAAAAGGGCTAGTCGGGCAAGAGCTGACAAAGATATTATTTTCTATTTTATATAACAGACTACTGAGATCTTAACACTTGTTTTGTATTAAAGATCATTTGAAGAGAAAGTAAAATTTAAAAAAATACACATCAGTATTTTAAATTTGATTTGTATTCATTTGAAAGAATTATAGATAATTTAAAACTAGAATCGTCACAATTTAAGGGCTTAACAATATCATGTCAACAGTAGTGTAAAAGTTGAAGGTTTGAAAACTAAATGAAATTATCAGGTCATGAATGGTACATGATCTTGCACTCTACAAAAAGAAAGAAAAAAAAAGTGAATTCTTTCATACAAAATAATTCATCTGCCATTAAAAAAAAAAAAAAACATCTCTATTCTTTAATATGTTCCAGACAGAAGCGTCTTTCTTTAAAAATTATCTTCAAAAGCCATTGTATTTCTGATTGATACTGAATGAATTGCTTGTAATGAGGTCAGGTTAATAAAATTGTAAATATGTTTTAATGTTGAAAGTGATAATGAAAGATACCTGTATGGAATATTTAGGAAAAAGATTATTGTGAAAGGCAAATGAAACCAACAGAAAAATCTGAAGCTTTTCTACAGTTTTGTTGCTTAAATATCAATACAGTAATTCTCATAACAGATTTTGCCTTCTTTTTATTCTTCTAGAAAATTGAATTTTTGTTTCAAACAACTGCTCTTTTTGTGTGTTGTTTCTTAAATATTAAGCAAAGGCAGATGCCCGGCATTTTTACCTTTGACAAACTTTATGTCAATTTAATAATGAGACCACTTCAGTTATCTTTACAGTGGGATGTGCGCATAACAGTATTTGAACCTTTACTTTTTCTTTCTTTTTTTTCTATTTATCTGTATAAAATACAAAAGAATTGTGTGTACTTGATATTTACTATATTTTTTTTATATGTCTTGCCACTAAACCAACATAATGGTCGTGCTGCCCAGGATAAGTGAACAAAATACATAGAAAGAATGTTTGGTCATCAGATTCTCTTTGACTTCATCCATTCTAGATCTGAGAGGAAAAAGAGCAATTAGTTGTAAATGTTATTACCCATTTTTTAAAATGAAGACAACCATTCACTTATACCCACCCGCCAAGAAGCAAAATATTTCAAGTATACAAAAATTGACACCTACCTTAAACCCTATCAGATGGCCGCCCAGAAAAATTAAAAAAGAAGATAAAAAAGAAGATAAAATATGCAATAAAAATTACATTTTTAATAATTCCAATACTTGACTCTAAAATTTAAAATTGAAAAAACTTCCTAGAAGACTTAATGTATCAGCTGTGGTATATTACCAATTTCTCTTCAATTTAAATATCACTTCTCCCTTTATCATTAGTAACTTGGATTTAATTACCATCCATCATGCTATGCAACGGCTTAATGTTCTTGTTGTTAATTTTGTATCTCAGGGAAAACGCAATTTGTCATATTTTATAAATGTCTTTAAAATTTGAATGAAATGTTCTTTTGGTTGATTTCTCTACAGCTTGCTAAAAGATTTCTTGCGTCAGTATATTTTGTCTTCCTTAGCAAATGTAGATAAAAATCAACCAAAAAAGAAAGCATTTATGATAAATATATGACTTAGAATGTGCAATGAAATATGAATTATGCTAAACTTTGGTTTCTTTACTAACATAAAATTGATTTGCCCATGATTGAGAATGTGTTAAAAATTGTTTCTTTTGAATAAACATTAATGCAAATTGAATGTCTGGATTTGTCAAATTTATTTTTTATTGACTGATTTACTTTACTTTATTTAAATTTTTAAACGTATTTTTTTTTAAAAAGTGGTGCAATTATTTTTAACTTTCCACCTCTGTAAATAGACAATATAACAATGATAAACAATTTTCGCCCACCAACAAGAGATAAGTCTGCTTATGACTTTTAACAAAGAAATGCCCTATTGTTAAAGCAAGTTTTTAAAAAATATAAAAGACCAGATCAACTATAATTTTAAAACTGAGGCAGTTGAGATAAGAATTGGAGTATTACTTATTTAATTTTTTTCAACAAGGAAAAAACAATTTTTTTTGGTCAACTTGACCTTGCCTTGGATCAAAAGTTATTGCTCTCATTTTGGTTTAAACATCACTGCTAGCTCTCATTATGGATTGAACATCACTGCCAGTGTGGTAAGGTGGGGTACTTGTTGAACATCATTGCCATTTGAGTTACATGTTTCTAAACTGTATTGTTGAATATGGTAAAATGCTTTAAAATCTGCTCTTCTTGCACAGGCTACTAATACGATAAATATTAATTTAATGTGGGTGTCTCGTGTTCAAATTGTTTTATTTATATGCTGAAAATGTACAATGCAATCAAAAAGCATTTCCATTTGTTTGGATCAATAAAAGAATCTTATCTTATCTTATTTAACTTATATAGACGCAATTTTAATTCGTGCAGTTGGCGCCTTATGTTCTCGGTATCGGGAATGCCTCAGATACTAAAGCACAGGGGTTAATTTATTATTTATTTTTTTAAAATTAGGATCAATGACTTAAATTTATCGTGCGTGAACTACGTTTGATCACAGTCACATTCACATACGTTTGACCAATGATTTGTCTGCAGTTTACCGTAAATGGTAAACATAAATTGTAGTTAATTTTGGAAACAGTTTGGCTAAAAACATTTAAAAGTCTATTTATCTTAAATTAAAAACGTAATTAATAAAAATGAATTTACAAACTTGAAAACTCGCCAAGATGAATATTTGCGTCACTTACGATATGTAGATGGTGAGTTAAGAATCTAAATAAATGATCTCGAATTTTTCTTCGTGCTTTGTGTCCTCGGTAACTAGATTTACTCCAAAAATGGTAAACAAATGATTTAACTTTCAACATTTTATGTTTTTATTGAGATAAAATGTTTCATTTACTGAACTGGTTTAGCTAGTGGATGATGATGATTGATTACTTGTATAGCGTTGGTGTCCATGCTATTCTAAATTCTAGCATGGTTGAAGCGTTCTGATATAAAATCTATTAAAAGAAAATGTCTTTTTCTACTTAATTTTAAAAATGATCCTTGTGATGATTCTTGATTCGAAGTGGCTATCTTTAACTATTACTATCTTTAATATCTTATTCTTAACTCTCTATTCGCCGACTATTCGGACTCTGAGAAGAGTGATAAGTTGGTTTTATTTTAAAAAAATATTTGAGATGTTATTGTTAGGTTTGTAAGACAAAATGTGGTATCAAATGAAAGGTAATTGAATAGACTAATAGACTATATGTTTGTAAACGTACTTCTTCAGTTTAACTAAAACTAAAATGGGGCCGTCTATAAAGTACGTCTCGCTCAAAAGGTGGGGTACTTATAGCTGCAGCCTTAATCTTTATTAATCTTTGTCTTTCTCATTTTAAAATTTTCCTGCCTTAAAGACTGAGGCAAACTGTTCCATAATTTAGATGATATTGCTTCAAAGGATAAGCAAGGTTTAAATATTGCTGGTATATTATGCTAATACTAATACATCTATATAGTATTATAGCCTAATAATATATTTTATGTTTAGATTAGAACATCCCCCTCAAGAGTTTCAACTTCAATTCAATTCATCCAACTGCAAATGCCAACTTCTCCATATACATCCCTTTCCTTCATCTTGTTTAGGGAATGGCAACATTGATAAATACCAGAGCTTAGTTTATTTTGTATTTTCAGCTGGTTGCCATTGTCATTAGTAATAAGTGTGGCATTAAGGGATATAACTTTTTTTAACACCTATTAACATCACATTCCAAAAAAATTCTATTGTTAGAGCCTGCACTTAACAGGCATAAGTAAATAGGAATCTGCGTTGCATTGTGATTAAGTATTTATCCATTTAAAGACACAGCAATGACTAAACGACAAAATCCTGTCCCTAAATCTACTAAAGGCTGCACCAGTGGATAGGTCGCACCCTTAGTTTAAGCTGGCCAAAGTGGGTATTTTTCGTTGACCCACAAATAGGTCCCAACATTAATTTTGGAAGTTGCATGGCCCTTTTCTAATGTAAATATAACAAATAATTTTTAAACCAACATTACAAAGTGTTTCCATAGCAACTTGAAAACTGAAAATCTATTGTCATAAACTACTGGATCTTTAGTAAAAATATTTAAAATGGATTGCCTTTTTTGATTTTTTGTATAAATGAATATCCCACAATAACAGTAAGCAAAATTGATGGAGAGCGAATAAGTTGCACCCTAATTTAAAAAAAAAAGTTTGACTTGTAAGTACAGTAAATTAATTTTTATGAAGGCAATCTAATCAAAATATTTGATGGTTTCTTTATCTTAATTTCTTCTTAAGTCTAAGAAGAGAGGTCTTAGCCTGGAGGAAAAGAGAACTCGCATGACTGAGTTTTTCTATGAAAAGGTAAGACTTGTGTTATTATATAACCATATGAATAAACTTTTATTTTTGTATGACTTCTTTTGGATTTTTTTTTTTTACTGGAATATGTAATCAGCCCTATTACATCATTATTTAGAATACCTTTAGAATTATGACTTAATTTTTTAAAAAAACATTTTCAGTTTAAACTTAATAACCATTTGTTCTTTAATGTTTTTTTTTGTCCATATGTTAGTGAGGAGCCACGGCTACACATTTTAATAAAATATCTTGTTTTCAGCAAGACTTCTTTCAATTAAAGGACCTGGAAAAGCTGTGCTCCAAGGAAAAAGGTATAACTAGCATGTCAGTGAAAGATGTTGTACAGAGCCTCGTGGACGATGGGATAGTAGACACAGACAAAATCGGGACATCCATCTACTTTTGGGCTTTTCCAAGTAAAGCCAGCCAAAATGTAAGTATTCATCAATTTAAAAATAGGTTATCTTAGCCTTGCCGATACAGAATCCTACATTTTCTGCACTGTATTTCAGGCAGACATCTCCTACAGTTGTTAGTATCGAATTAATTATCTGATTGAGAATGTTTTAGCTCACTGTAACTATAAAAGCCCAAACTGTTACCTAACTAGGTTAAACATATATTCTGCCCACAGAGAAAAAGAAAACTGGAAGAGCTTGAGGGTAAAGAGAAAAGTCTTTTGTCAAAAAAAGAACAGCTACTGTCAGCTCTTGAACAAGCTAAAATTGGAAAGGAGGATTCAGTACGTTGATTTTCTAGACTAAATTTATCTCTATTTGAGACTTTTTATTTTTTCTTTGGTTAAATATTCCTCAATAATGTTTAAGCTTTCTTAAAAGATGGATGGCTTTTTTATATTTCAGACTTAAAGTTCAACCAATGTAACAATAAAAATTATTCACGTTTAAAATATCCTAACATTTCATGTAGAGTGGAGTAAACCCTATACAGCTTATTTAATTCTAAGGAAGAAAGAAAAGATGTACTGGAGGAGCTTAGCAAGAGACAAGCAGAGAAGAGCTCTATTCTTTCTGAGCTAGAAAAGTACAAGGAGTCTGACCCTGAGGTCATAAAGAAACAGAAACATGAAGCAGAACAAGCAAAGGAGGCAGCCAACAGATGGACAGGTAGATCACTGTTGCTTAGATAACATAGTCACTGTTGCTTAGATAACATAGTCACTGTTGCTTAGATAACATAGACACTGTTGCTTAGATAACATAGACACTGTTGCTTAGATAACATAGTCACTGTTGCTTAGATAACATTGTCACTGTTGCTTAGATAACATAGATTACTGTTGCTTAGATAACATAGTCACTGTTGCTTAGATAACATAGTCACTGTTGCTTAGATAAGATAGATTACTGTTGCTTAAATAACACTAAGTCATTTATGAATTTTTTTCAAAGCTACCTCTTTGCTTTTGAATTGTTTCATATATTGATTTTGGAGATGTACGAGAAAGATACAATTTTTAACTCTTACATTCACACTGAACTGGTGAAAATATTTTTTTTCAATTTACATACATTCTCCTTTTATCTTTCACAGATAATATATTTTCCACTAAATCCTGGATAAGAAATAAGTTTTCCTTTGAAGAAAGCATAATCAACAAACAGTTTGGCATACCCAGTGACTTTGACTATGTTGAATAAATAGTGCAGATTATCTGAACTTATTGTTCTCTGTTAGTAGTCTGGTGAAATGTATATATTTTCCATCCTCGGGACAATTCCAAATGCTTTGAAGATCCCAGCTTAAAAGTTATTCTTTGTTGCGGGGATCAGCAGCCAAAAACCAGGTAGTAGACATTTTAACACAGCAGGCTGAGAGTCAAGCGTACCTAAGTGGTTGGGTGGTCTTCTTCATTTGTCAATAGGGAAAAAAGATTGAGGGGGCAGCAAATGTTTCTTTATTCCTATGGGGATTTAACATTTAAGACAACAAAAACATCCAATAAGACACTTCATTTCCTCTTAATTGTGCACACAATGTGATGGAAGTGTTGCTTTGACAACTTATTACAAACATAATGAGACACAAGTCAGAGATGTCAAGTCTTAGCCTTACACAGATAAATAAAGTGTGGTTGTTTGCCAATCTAGCGGACCCCAACCAGCAACAAACGGATCAAGTTTATTCCTTTCCTCAGTGAAGGCGGTCAGTAATAAATGAAACATTTTGATCTGATTATGTATTATTTCTCTGTGAACATTATTGTTAGGGCATTAATAAATTTTAGGGCATTAATAAATTTTAGGGCATTCATAAATTTTAGGGCATTAATGATTTTGGGCATAATTTTCAATAAATAATGAAAGGAGAAAAAAAAGTGTTTTTAGAAGTAGAAAAGCGTTGCCGAATATAAGATTAAGCATTACTTAGTGCTTAAGCCTCTATTGGTTTAATAAAAATGTGTACATATTGTGTGTCAAGTAATCATACATTGTAAAGAGACACTATGTGTCATTTTGAAGACAGAAAATGTGCCAACTTAATCCTAAAAAGATTTGATTGGCATTGCTCTCCTGTAAATATTGTTGACATTAATTGTTTTTTTTTGCATTGTTATGTTAATGAAAATAAAATAAATTTGACTTTCCATTCATAGTTATTTTTCTTATTTATTACAATCATTACACATATAGATACATCCCAGAAACCTAATTTTCCCAACCTTTGTTCATATGAGTTCAGGTATTATAAAATATTATGTTCTTCATATTTGCTTTGGACAGTATAAACATTTATTCTTGAGTCCTCTCCACTAAACAAAGACCAGCAGAAACATTGCAACCACTCCAAAGAAACAAGGCCTACAATGTTTATCCCTATCAGATTGCATCAGGTTTTGTAGTTTTAGTCGGTTTTTAGGATAAAAAGATATGTGTTCCTAATCTTCTTTTCCCACAGCTTGAGCTTAGAGTCTACACCAAATCTTAAGTATTATACAAACAAGAAAATTCTATTTTTATTCTTAGTTTATTTGCATAAGTAATAACACTAATTAATTGAAGATTTATTACACCAAAATTGAAAGTAAATTAGCAAATGTGGGGTGTATTTAATGTTTCATCAGCATTATTAGAACTTAAAAAAAAAAAATTTCTCTGAAGGATTAAATGTTAATGAATAAAAAACAGCTATTTATAAATTAACTACACATTTGATAAATATCATAACATATGGACGAATGGTAATTATTTACAAGAGTGCCTTTTAACCCCATTTCACTTGATGATATCAGAACATTTTCAGCATACATATTTTTGTTAGTTTCAATTTAATATACTGTACAACATTGTTAATATGTATTTTTATTTACAAGAATCTCAAGTTGGTCTGAGTTGAATTCCTGGTAAATTGGCTCTTCAGTCAGTGGTTCTTTACGTTAACTAAGTTATAAGAAATTTTCAAAGGTTTGCATGTTGATTAGATTTCTAACTTAAAAAAACAAAAAAGGTGGGGATTAAACGGTTAAAGGCTGGGAACCACCATTTTCAAATTATAATGAAATTAAATATGATAGAAGAAAATAGTGTGTAGGATGTGATAGATTATAATAAGAATATTACTTAATATTATCAGCAATAATTTTGTGGCCTATTAAATAATGAGGCCCCCCCCCCCCTTTTTTTTAAAAAATCATTTTTTTTAAAAAGTCGTAAGAATAACAAAAGAAGCTATTACCCCAATAAATATATTTATCGCATCTTGGTACTACTAATTTAAAGTTGTTTAAAAAAAAATTCATTTCAATGTGCCGATTTGTATGCAGAATTTAAAGTAGATTACAAACAGAACCTGCTGCAGATAACATAATAATAAAGAAATAAAAATCATTTTTCATAGAGCTCAAGTTAATAAGATGTAAGAACCACAGGCAATAAATGTGTGTAACAAGTATAGTACAAAGCATTTTGCACAAATTGATCCAATAAGATCCTTTGAGGACAAAAAAAACAAAAAAAAAACAACAAGAAATCAATTTTTCACTGTTACAAAAAAATAAATTCCTCATTTCAGACATGAACACAATAGAAGTGCAAGGCTGTTCAATTCTGGGAATGTCTGTACAAGTTTTAGTTAGAAAACTGCTGCCACCTAATATTTTTCCCCTATCCCCATTTTCTCTTTCTAGAACTATAAATTATTATATAAACCATTTTTACTGTTTAAATTTTGGTCAAAAGCCTGTAAAAAAAAAACTGCTGTTGTTTATGTCATCAAATGTAGATTTAGTTTTCATAATAAAACATAAAACTAAGTACATACCCTAAATTAAAGTGGATTCTTTAAAGCCTGCACTAAAAAAAAAAAGTTGTATTTGCAATGTCCAAATATTTGCACAAATGCTTTATCATGAAAATATCAGCAAAATAAATATTGATCTGGATAATTTTATGGAGAAATTTTAATAACAAGTTTTGCTGAACAAAATCTATGAGTTCAAATTCATTCGATATGAATCAGGTATCAAAATAAATGAATTGCTAATTTCATAAAATGTGCACATATTTCCTCCAGGTATTTTATATTAATTTATTGCTGAAAAAAGGTTGCTTTTTTATTTTAAAAACACTTTAACTGCCCCCCCCCCCCTTTTCCCAAACCATGAGAGAAAGATAATGACTTCATAAATGATTACATAATATTATGTTAATTTTGTCATTATATAGATCAGTGGTTCTCAACCTTTTTAGTGCCATGACCCTTTAATAAGGTTTCTCGTGTCGTGGCGACCCCCAGCCACACAATTATTTTCGTTGCTACTTCATAGCTGTAAGGATATGTGTTTCCAGATGGTCTTAGGCCACCCCTGGAAAAGGGTCCCGCGACCCCCAAAGGGGGTTGCGACCCACAGGTTGAGAACCGCTGATATAGATGCTTATTTGTAAATTAATAAAAATACTAATTTCATATAAAATAAAAAGCTATTGAGATTCATTCAGTTTCAACTAATATTCATGGCAAAGATCAATCTCCAAGACAGTAAGGCACTTAAAGCTTCATGAGTGATACATTTTGATGAGTCAATACAAAACAGAATTCCCCAAGGATTATGACATTGCAACTTGTATGTACAATCTCCATATATAAACCGGTATAGAACCAACTAAACAAAGTTGTATGAAGCAGTTAGCTATCGTGTCAAAAAATAAATAGGTCATTATTCGATTTGCTGATTTCTAAATTAACTTTGAACTGATGATTGAATGAAAGTCTTAATTTAAATTTAAATTATGAATGCATACAAACAGAGCTTACCTGTTTTTTTAAAGTTCCATACTAATAGTTAAGACAAAATTCTCTAGAATATATTTGTGTCTTAATTAACACATTTTTAAACTGATTTATATTTTTAATATAATCAAACAAAGTAATATTAATATAAAATTTAATTTCATATTATTAATTAACATCAGACTTCCTTCCAAATATTATGTAGGTTGCATATATAATTTTAGTTTGCAAAAAATAATAAACTTTTCTTATATACCACTAAACAGCAATGATAAGCAAGCATGAGAAAAAGATTAATCATTAAACCTTTTTATAATTAAAACCTGTTTTAAATAAATTTTTCACTATTTTATCAAGTATTGTTAAAATTGACTGCAATTAATAAAAAGATCCCCGAAAAAGGATATAATGGGTCAGCTCCATACATTTTCCACCTCATTAAATATCTTATTTCATTATTTTCTTCCATAAAGACTCATTTTAGTTGAAACATATTATGAATGAGTTAATCATTTTCATTTGCCAAATTTAAAACTTCATGATGACAGTTCAGTAGAAACAATTGACATTTTTTAACCATATCTTTTAGATTGGTATTAAAAATTTTTTATAAATAAAAAGAAATTGCTAAGCTCTTGACATAAAAATATAACATCAGCTTGAATGTTAATAAATTAGATCTAATTTGTAAAACGTCATTAAAAAAAAATCCATCCTTGTATTGGTTTGAAAATTCCTCAATCTTATTCGATACACATTGTCATATTTATGGCTGCACAAATCAATTTTTTTCCCATCGACTCCTAAGCTCAGATTTGCTTCAGAAGGCAGGATTTGTGTCTAAATATTGCTTTGGGTTGTGTAGATTCTGGCTTCTGCTACTCTCTCTGGTAGGTTTCTGAGTACTCCCCCTTCACTGACCGGCATTGTTATCTCCTCCATTGTCCTTTCAAGTGATGACCTTGACCTATCACTGCCAGCATGGCTGAGGCTGTGGGAGACAGCATGATTCACAGTGAAGTTCATGTCCACATTGTCTGTGACCAATGTCACTTCCGGCTTGCCCCGTATTGATCCCCTCATGGCTGCTAACTCAGCATCATCCTGAAAAAAAACACCAAAGTGTTCACTTTTTCTTTTAAGTTTTTAAGTTAGTATTCTTGTACATTAAATTTATTTAAAAAAAAAACAACAGCTCCATAGTAATACTGTGTAACTGTTAATGCCCTGTGATTTTACTAAAATTGGCACGACAGCTCTGGTAATTTTTTTTCCTCCTTTGTTTGGTAACTTGTTATGTCATTTCAAAAATCATGCTGCTTGTATAATATAATGAACTGCCATGATGCAGGTTTATTTTAAAAAATTGTTTTAGCTCTTTTTAAGAATATACATTAAAAAAATTGCAGGCCTACTTAAAATTAAAGGAAGGAAGAGAGAAAAAAAAATTGGAAACATCTTTATTGCTTTTTATTTCTCATTATAGAATCCCTACACTTGATGGTAGTTTGAATGGACCACTTCTTGTCCCACCCCCATTTTAGTGCACCACAGTTCTATCTACACACCTTGATGTCCATCTGTGCTTGTAAAGTCATGTAGTCTCGTGATTTGTGTGGCATTGTGTTGTAAGTCGCCGCAAAGCCCCTTTCATCTGTACAAAAAAAAAAAGAAATGAATAAAATAACCATTTTTGCTCAGTTTGACCAACACATTAAGAAGTTGGTCTAATGTTGAACAATAATTTTGCTCTATAACCACAATTTAAGTAATCTTAAAGATTATTTACTTCATGAAGTTGTGTTGCATGTGAATATATATACATCCGTAACATAAAAGTATTTACCCATGGATGAGTTTCCACTAACTAGATAACTTTGACTTTCTGCAAGTTTCCTCGCCATGTTATCCTTTTGACCCCTGTCCAGAGACTGAGTAGAAAATGCACCATTCTGTTCACCATAAGATGTAGACATAGCGAAGGCTGACATACCAGATTGGAAGCCCCCTCCACCAGACTGGAAGCCACCTCCACCAGACTGGAAGCCGCCTCCACCAGACTGGAAGCCGCCTCCACCAGACTGGAAGCCGCCTCCACCAGACTGGAAGCCGCCTCCACCAGACTGGAAGCCACCTCCACCTTTCATCAGTCCAATCTTGAATCAAACAAAATAAAACTAGCAGGCAAATTTCAGTGGTTCTCTAAGTAATTATTTTGTATACACCTATCTCTAGGTAAAAGATTTTTGTAACCTAAATAGCGATCTTAATAACATTTGGTAAAAGAATGCATAATAGTAGTGTAATATTGTTAATAAAGAGGTTAGTATTTATTAGAGCTAATAATTTTATGTTAAAGGGGAAGTAACCTTTAAAAAATCTAGATTTTCCCAAAGTTCAGTTATTTTTCTAATGATATCTTCCTGAAATTGAGGACTTATTTCTTTTAAATTGAGACCTTGAAAGACGAGGTACATCTTCAGACAGATATGCCAGGACAAGTAATTTTAACATCCATCAAATGTTGAAACATTGAAAAGACCCCTAGTTTGTAAAAAGCCTTTAGTCTTTTAAATTAAATTGAATTAATGTTTAAAAAAAATAAAAATATATAAATAAATCAAGAAAAAAAATATAAAGATTATTTACTTCATGAATTAAGGCATGAATTAAATTTTAAATTAAAAAGATTAAAGGCTTATTTTAATTTTAGATAAACAAGAAAAACAAAACCTACTTGGGAACCATGCTCAGATACTGAACTCATGTTGCTTCTCAAAGCTGTGTACAGGAAATGAGAAAATTTACAATATATATTAATTTGATGAAATAAGATTTCGATGAATAATTATGATAAATTTTTGTTTGATAAGTTCAAATTAGTTGTATAGATTTATATATAAATTTTCATGAAATAATGATTTTAAAAGTCTTGAAAATTAAGCATAATGAAAGCTTGTAGTTATAGATTATTATTGCAGTCCTAAATTTTCTCAGAAAAAAAATGCAGCAAAACTTACTGTAGTCTGCACCGGTGCTAACATCAGCGAAATAAGGAATAAATGCCAAATGTTCTTTAGCTTTACGGAATTTTCCTCTGAAAAAAATTAATTTGATTTTCTTTTGATATAAATTGAAAGAAAAAATAGGAATTAAGTATTTTTACAATCTATTTGTACAATTAAAGTTTATGTACTTGTATCTATTTTCTAACTTTTCTTTCCTTTAATTTTCAATTTTTTTTTTCAAATTTTGCTAATTTATAAAGCTTTTAGTTTTTAAAAACTAATTTTAAATATTCAACTAACAAATTTAATTGAAGTCATCCTTCAATGTAAAAATCTTTAATCATAAAAAACAAAAAAACTACTTATTCTAAAATGACTTGAGGTAAAATGGCAACTACCCTGCACTTCCATAGAATATGTCAAATACATTTCAATATTTTGGGGATATCTTGACACTAAAATAATAGGATAAAATCGAAAAATTCTGGTTAAAATTTTACTAAAATTACAAAGCTCGATTCATTTAATTCCTTTTTTTTTTAAGCTTAATACTTTACCCTTAACACTACCAGCTAATTGAGAGGAGAGCAAATTTAAGGCATAATTTATGCAATGCTTACTGTCTATGACAGTATCCAGCTGCTAAAGCCAGACAAGTTAACAAAATCAGAGCGGCAACACAAGCTGCTATGACAGCTGCTAATGGGAAACTGTCTGAAATAAAATTAAAAAAAAGACTTGAAAATGTTTTATAAATGTAGGCTACATTGAGTTTTTGTTCCCTATGCACCCGTATTAAATAACTGTAATAAAACATGTAATTGTTTCTTTAATGATATGATGTGTATGAAATTTTACTACAATAACATGTAATTGTTTCTTTAAAGATATTTGTTTGAATTTTTAGTACAATTACAACTGAAATATGTATTGTGAATCTTTTCTTGAAAAGACATAGTATCCCTTGAGGTAAGTCCAAAATTTTTGTAAAAAAAAAAGTAACTTACTCATGGATGAGGCCCACATTTTCAATTTTGGTAGGTTCCAAAATCATGTTTGTTTTTTTTAAACTCAATTCAGTATGTTGAGTATAAAACAGATCCAATAATATTTAAAAAAAAAAAAAGTAAACTTTAAATCTGAATATTTTCTTTCCTTTCACTTCATAGAATCTTCATTCAATCAATGTTTTCATAGCCTAGGTGATAGTTGTGACAAATAATACAAAAAGGGAACAAATAATCCGCTATTTTCACCCAGAAAATATTTTTTTTTGTCTAACTGGTCGCACCCAATATATTTATGTTTGAAATTTGAATATTTTATTTTTTAAGTTTCAATCTGCATTCTCTCTTACAAAAAGTAGCCTTCATGATTTTCTCAGTAACTATTTTTGCAGCAAAACAAAACCTACCATCATTGCTGCCTCCAGAAACTATAGGACCAGCTGTGATAGGTATGATTGGTGGTTCATCTGTCACGGGTGGGTAGATAATGGTCCAAGGGCAGGTCACTTCATTATTCACTTCCTCTCTTGTAAAGGTTGTCTTTACTGTTTTTCAATAATTATGTAGGAGGTAAAGTTTTACATTTTTATTTCCAAATAAAATCTATAAGAAAAGGCAAGAAGACTCAGTTGCCACTAAAATATACTTTAAATAATTTTTAAAAATAAATTTATACCAGGACATGGTAAGATCATTAAAAACTTTTTGCTTTGGCCAGAAAAATGTGAAAATGCCAAGTATAATTAATATTTTTCTGAAGTGTTTAAAAAAAACAACCCAAGGTTATGTTGTAAATGAAATATTTCTTATAAAAATTTTAACTATTGGATACATTAATAAATTTACTAGAGAGCAGGTACAACAGCTAATTTTTCATACCAAATTCACAGAGGAAAGACTTTTGCTGATCACAAACAGTGTCACCCCATTGCCAAGTGGCAAGTCCTGGTGTTGTGAGCCTCTCGCGGAACATGTGACCACATTTCAACAGGTTAAAATTTCCCTGTGCCTGCAACAACTGGGCACTGGCTGAAAAATACACTATGTGTAAATATTTTCAGTAGATCTTTGTAAACATTACTTTTCTATTCAAAATTTAAAAAAAATAGAAGTAAAATTATTATTAGATCTATTTTTTTTTCAAATTCTGAATGTAATGGTGATTTATTTGATTGAATCAGTCTGTGAATAAATCCCCATAAAGTTTATTTAACGTCAAAAGAGCATCTATTCAAAAATTTTCTTCTAAATATATGCCTACTGTTTGAACTAGCTTTGATAAATTCCCAACTTACTAGCATTGAATGACCAGGCGTAGTTGGTGGCGCCAATCCAGTACCTTGAAACACCATCAAGAAATTGGTTCACTTGTTTCATCTCATCAAGTTCATGCATATTCCACAAGTCCCCCCCTCGGTTGACACAGTATGCCCTCGCCGCATACCAGTTGTAGTTCAAAGACACACGAAGCATGCATTTGTCCCTCATCAAGAACCTGCACTCTGTTCCTGTGCATTCAGTTGAATTACATTTTGCTGTCTCCCCTGCAATATAAAAAAAAAATAGTATAGTGTTAAGACAATCCTGACTATTTATTTATATCTATAAAAACAAAATTACCTAACCAAACTATTAAATGAGTAACAAAAAGAAAAAAGTAGTGTATAAACAAACAAAAATTTAATGAAATTTATTTTTCTTTTCTTAATTTCAACTTTTGAATTAAATTTAAATCTAAAGAAACAATAATGTTTAAAAAGAAGATACCTTTTATCCGAAAGTGATTGAGCCTAACTTTATAAACCCCTTATTCATATCAACTCAAACATTCTCAGTAAATGAGAAGTACAAGAAATAACCCAAAAGGGCTTTATGGAACAAAATAAAGATTTAAAAACATTGCTATTACCAAGACAGCAGACGAAAAAATGCGGAGTAAAGCATGTATCACTACGCATTTCCCTCTTGGCAAGGGTTGTTTGGTCCACAGTGGCGCACAAGATTTCTGTTTTGGAAAAGGCTTCTGATGCTGCCAGCTTAATGAGGTTATCTGGAGAAATATAAAATATTAATTCAATTTCACCTACTATTTATTATTATAGCACTGTGATTATGAACGGTCACGATGAAGGCAGGGTTTCATCATATATGAGTGACAGATACATGAGTTACAGATACATGAGTGACAGCGTTATGGGTTTTCTAGTTGGGAAAGGCAAATAATATTAGGAATATACTTAACCAATGAGATTACTTTTTTTAATAGACACATTTTAGGAAGGACCCCTACAAACAAAGTATCTAATACTTAAGTTAACTTCCAGATGAGCAGCTGGTAGCATAGAGTATATTGAATCTTAGTGTATGGCTAAAATATAAGTTCAGATGGGTGTTTAAAAAAATCGTCAATCAAAGGCTTTTTCAGTCAATTTAAAATAATGGTTAATGGTGCACTTTTACTGCCCACAGTTTTGTTATGGGGATTCAAACCATACATCTTTGAAATCAAACAGTAATATATTCTTAATGGGCATCATGAATTTTTTCTTTTAATGGTAAAGTGCTACAAGTAGCCAAAAAATAAAAAAACAACAACTTTGCTTTGTGGTAAAAAATGTTGTTAAATTGGGAAGAAAATTATTTTGTAGAATAAACAGTTATTTCAAGTCAAGTATGGGCTGGTCTTTCATCATACAACAAATCTTGACATGGGGCCAGAAATCACATATTCTCTACCAAAGCTGCACAAATTACCTTCTTTAGCATGCACAATGAAATAGCTTGTTTTATTTTTGTTGACTACAGAAAAGTCGTCCCTAACACACTGGCCTTGGTACTTGGCATCTAGCTCGTGCTTGCAGTAGCACTCGGGGGATTTCCCTTTATTCTGTCAACACATAGTCATGGTTAAATACGCTTATTAATGTTATGGAAAAAAAAAGCGCTGATTAACTGAATTGAATAATCAGTAAAGACAATATGGACCAGAGGCGAAATAAAAAAAAACACCTTGAGTAATGGAGTAAAGCAATATAATTATTATAAATTATATGCCATTTGTATTGAATATTAGTTTTTAATATTTAAAATCGTCTAGAAAGACATTAAAATAATTCGTAAATAAAATAAAATTATAGGAAAAGGAGACTGGTCACACACACACACACAGAGTGAGAGAGAGAGAGAGAGAGAGCGAGAGAGAGGGGGAGGGAGGGGAGAGGGTGATGTGTTGAAGCAGAGAGTGTCATTCCGTGGGGTTGGTATGGTAGATGGTTGAGAGGAAAGATAAGGCTGAGGAGGATAATTGGGAGGAAATCATCACTTCAAAAAAAACAACATTATATTAACTTCGCTCTCCTTTGTTGTTGTGTGTTGTTCTTTTTTTTTTTCAGGCTTGGTGGCAAAATATTTGGACGGCTGATTGACACACTTCCCGTCGACCTATCGAGCTGAAACATGGCGACATATACTCGTTGCCCATGACTACACATAATAATATCATATTTTATAACCACAAAACCGACATTCCCTGACTTATTCATTCCGTTAGCGTAGGGTGGCCGAACATCATTTGTTGTTGAACATCATTGCATTTTGATTTTAAACTTTTCGTAACTGATTGAATACGGTCAAAATGCTTTAAAATCTTATCTTCTTGCAAATGCCAATAACACGATATAGATCGTAATTATATACAGGCTTCTCACGCTCAATAGGGGCGCAATTTTAGTTCTTGCTGTGGGCGACATATTATTATGTTCTTGGTATTCCTCATATCCGAAAGCTTGGGGTTTAATTCATTATGAATTATTTAAATTAGGATCAGTGACTTAAAGTTGTGGTGCGTGAACTACACATACGTTTTAGCACACACGTTTGACCAGTGATTTGACTGCAGTTCACCGTAAATGGTAGACATAAATTATCGTTAATGTTGGAAATAGTTAGGCTAAACACATTTAAATTTAAAAGGCTTTCTAATTTGAAAAAAAAAAATAATAATTGTAAAAAATGAATTAAAAACAATTGAAAACTCGCCAAGATGAATATTAGCGCCAGCTACGGCCTACCACATGAAACTGGTGAGTCACGTATCTATATAAACTATCATGTTTTTTTTTCTTCGTACTTTGTGTAGACTCTTTCAATATCCCACCCATCCATGCACAGTGCACTTATATTCCCAGTCCCTGTATAATTTATGAGATACGTTATAGGCCTCCTATTTTTTGTCGTCTTTTATTTGCACAACGCGATATGAAGAAGAAAAAAATTATGAAAAACTAGCTTTAAATGCAAAGCCGAAATTGACCGAAACTCTCAACCCGAGTGGCCAGATAGATCTTTACTCACGTGTAAAACAATAAACCTGGCACCCCTGTCGTGGCAGGTGGAGACGCAGTAATCGACACTCAGGTAGTCACTCGTGATGGCCACGTTGCTGGCGTCTTCGCGAGGTGGCTCGTCGTTGCTGCAGTAGTTGATACCATTCACCAAAGTCACTGTTGTTGGAGATAGAAAATAAATCATTAAAGAAGCTTTTTTTTTTTCAAGAAAACATCCAATAATGCGATGACGCAAGGGTGGTCAATCCAAAAGTCATCAGGGACCAGTATGATATCGAGAAAACCGTTCACGGGTCACTATGCTGTATAGAAATGTTTATTTATTCATAATTCACACAATGAAATGCTAAAATAACAAAACAGAATAAATCTAAGCTAACGTGACGTCAAATTTGTTTCCTTTCTCTCCATTGTCTGTTTAAAATCGATTTCGTGGGTTATTGAATGAAGAGTAATACGTTTATTGTTTTAATAAATAAGTCATCCATGGGCCGCAAGATTTGTCGTGGCGGGTCGCATTCTGGCCACGGGTCGGCCATCCCTGCGCTAACGGAATAAATACGCGAGGCAATGACGGGTATTGTAGTAATAAATTTGATAGAATATGTTTTAATTGGCAACAAATCTATGTGACAAGTTTCAGCTTAATAGAATGACGGGAATTCGGTCAATTAGCCGTCCGAATTGTCACCAACACAGAAGGACAGAGACACGCGAACAAAAGTGAAGTTACTATAAAGGACCTAAAAGCACAATAGGTCAGCAAACGTCAACGCAAAAATCCTCTATCAGGGTATCACTTAACGTGAATGCGTGCGTGTTGATGCTGGGAATAATTTTGTCTATGAATTCAATGCCTTTTATTGTCGTTTTGACAGTCTTGATTTTGAAAATTCCCATAATGACATGAAGAATTCATTTAACTGTAGCAGTGTTACAGGGGATGATTGTCTATTATTGTTGACTGAAGAGGAAGTGATGTTGTTATTTTAACAAGACAATGTAGCCATGGCATGATCAGGGCCAGACAAATTAAATGTTAAACTCTGCTCAGAAAAGCTCTCCTACATTTGTTGTTACATATTTAATAAATTGTCTGAAACTCACACCATACCAAAAAAATGAAGAACTTCAGAAATTATACAAATTCCAAAGAAAGATAAAGCCATTTGGAATAAAGACTTACGTCCTGTCGCACTTACATCTACTGCCATGAACTATTCTGAGAAATGTATCCTAAGACAAATTTTGAATGAAATACAGCAAAAACTAGACCCCACCTATTTGCACATAATTTGCCAGAAGTAACAAGGATGCCTGCCACCTTACTATCATGGGAAAGACTTAACCATCACCTAGACAGCCCCCAAAAATATGCTAGGTTGCTTTTCCTATAGACTTCTCATCAGCATGTGACACAATCCAACCACACCGCTTATGACTTCAAATCTTCCTTCAGTTAGGCGTAAATTCAAATATTCAAGCGTGATTACTGAACTTTTGAAGAAATCACCCACAGTATGTCAAGATCAATGACCAAATATCATTAACTGGAAAAAGGGGTGCCAAAAGGTTGCGTTCTCCCCACTTTCCTGTGTACAATACAGATAGGGCCTATTGGTGATACTCAGAGCCATACTGTCCCAAGCATGAAACCCGCTGATGATACCATCTTCGTTCAATTACTATTCGAATGGGAAAACTTATAACGCAACTTAGTTACAAGCTTTAGCAGTTGATACGATGAACATTTTCTGAAGTTGAACATCTCAAAAACGTAAGAAATGGTTGTCCATTGTCGGAGGGAGAATCCCCCGATTGCAGATTTCACAATAAAAAAATCAAAGCAAGTAGTGACATATAAGTACCTAAGTGTCATAGTATAGAGCAAGTAGTGACATATAAGTACCTAGGTGTCACAGTATAGAGCAAGTAGAGACATATAAGTACATAGGTGTCATAGTATAGAGCAAGTAGAGACATATAAGTACCTAGGTGTCAGAATATAGAGCATGTAGTGACATATAAGTACCTAGGTGTCACAGTATAGAGCAAGTAGTGACATATAAGAACCTAGGTGTCACCATATAGAGAAAGTAGTGACATATAAGAACCCAGGTGTCACCACATAGAGCAAGTAGTGACATAAAAGAACCTAGGTGTCACCATATAGAGCAAGTAGTGACATATACGTACCTAGGTGTCACAGTATAGAGCAAGTAGAGACGTATAAGAACCTAGGTGTCACATAAACATTAAACTAACATGGCAGGAACACGGTCAACTTCTGTATAAAAAAAGTCAACAACGATTTTACTAACTTAAAAAAATATATAAAAAATGTAGACGTATTAAGTTAATAACTTACACTACAGAGCAACAATTGGAAGCCTACAGAACTGCACTATTAAATGCTGGGATGTGAGAATTGATCGTCTGACATCTAACACCGATAAAACAGACTAATCAAGAAAGCAAGTAATATCTCAGAACGAAACATCCTTCACTTGAAGAACTATTTAAAGGAAAATGCTGTTGTAAAACTAAACATACATCCCAACCTCACCATCACAGATACCTAAGATCCCATCCCACCCTTCATCCCAACCTAACCGTCACAGATACCTAAGATCCCATCCCACCCTTCATCCCAACCTCACCGTCACAGATACCTAAGATCCCCTCCCACCCTTCATCCCAACCTGACCATCACAGATACCTAAGATCCCATCCCACCCTTCATCCCAACCTCACCATCACAGATACCTAAGATCCCCTCCCACCCTTCATCCCAACCTGATCATCACAGATACCTAAGATCCCATCCCACCCTTCATCCCAACCTGACCATCACAGAACCTAAGATCCCCTCCCACCCTTCATCCCAACCTCACCGTCACAGATACCTAAGATCCCCTCCCACCCTTCTTCCCAACCTGACCATCACAGATACCTAAGATCCCCTCCCACCCTTCATCCCAACCTCACCGTCACAGATACCTAAGATCCCCTCCCACCCTTCATCCCAACCTGATCATCACAGATACCTAAGATCCCCTCCCACCCTTCATCCCAACCTGATCATCACAGATACCTAAGATCCCATCCCACCCTTCATCTCAACCTCACCGTCACAGATACCTAAGATCCCATCCCACCCTTCATCCCAACCTCACCGTCACAGATACCTAAGATCCCCTCCCACCCTTCATCCCAACCTCACCGTCAAAGATACATAAGAACCCCTCCCACCCTTCATCCCAACCTCACCGTCACAGATACCTAAGATCCCCTCCCACCCTTCATCCCAACCTCACCATCACAGATACCTAAGATCCCATCCCACCCTACATCCCAACCTGATCATCACAGATACCTAAGATCCCATCCCACCCTTCATCTCAACCTCACCGTCACAGATACCTAAGATCCCCTCCCACCCTACATCCCAACCTCACCGTCACAGATACCTAAGATCCCCTCCCACCCTTCATCCCAACCTGACCATCACAGATACCTAAGATCCCATCCCACCCTTCATCTCAACCTCACCGTCACAGATACCTAAGATCCCCTCCCACCCTACATCCCAACCTCACCGTCACAGATACCTAAGATCCCCTCCCACCCTACATCCCAACCTCACCGTCACAGATACCTAAGATCCCCTCCCACCCTACATCCCAACCCCACCGTCACAGATACCTAAGATCCCATCCCACCCTACATCCCAACCTGATCATCACAGATACCTAAGATCCCCTCCCACCCTACATCCCAACCTCACCATCACAGATACCTAAGATCCCCTCCCACCCTTCATCCCAACCTGACCATCACAGATACCTAAGATCCCATCCCACCCTACATCCCAACCTTATCATCACAGATACCTAAGATCCCATCCCACCCTTCATCCCAACCTCACCGTCACAGATACCTAATATCCCCTCCCACCCTTCATCCCAACCTCACCGTCACAGATACCTAAGATCCCATCCCACCCTTCATCCCAACCTCACAGTCACAGATACCTAAGATCCCATCCCACCCTACATCCCAACCTGACCGTCACATATACCTAAGATCCCATCCCACCCTTCATCCCAACCTCACCGTCACATATACCTAAGATCCCATCCCACCCTACATCCCAACCTGACCATCACAGATACCTAAGATCCCATCCCACCCTTCATCCCAACCTTACCGTCACAGATACCTAAGATCCCATCCCACCCTTCATCCCAACCTCACCGTCACAGATACCTAAGATCCCATCCCACCCTACATCCCAACCTGACCATCACAGATACCTAAGATCCCATCCCACCCTTCATCCCAACCTCACCGTCACAGATACCTAAGATCCCATCCCACCCTTCATCCCAACCTCACCATCACAGATACCTAAGATCAACTCGATCAGGGCGAATTCTTTCAATTTAAAGTTAGGACCGGAAAAAATATCAAAGTTTTGCTTTCGGATTCACCATCATGCCCCCCCCCCCCAAACACAACCACAACCACAGTGGTTACCAAACCTAAATCATCGCTATCTAAGTGATTATTGTCCCATACGGAGTTCATTGGTGGCTGATTTCTACGCTAGATTTTAGATGTCTTGTGTTTAAATTGTTATAAAGGTAAAATTTTGTTTTGGTTAAAACATGTACTTATTTATATTCTGAAATAAGTTAAAGATAAACAATAGACCAATGATATGCTGAAAACTACGCAAATGACCGAAGTGAATGAGAGAAGTGAGAAGTCCTCCATTAATCAATTAATGAGACATCGACAAATGAGAGATGGGCCATTAGGGAGAGAATGACTATTAATGAGACTTGGACAAATGAGAGATTATACACCAGGGAGAGACTGGCCATCAATGAGACATGGACAAATTAGAAATTATCCACCAGGGAGAGAAGTTATAATGAGAGAGTGTGGAATGGACGTTTCAGGAATGAGCAATGATAAAAGAAATGTACACGTTTGAAACCGAGCAGCACCCGCGGATAATATAGTTCCTATAAATCTTAGGCCTATTAAATTAACACCGTCTATCAAATCATTAATAATTATTATAACCAAAAAAAAGGCAAATTTTAAAGAACTTACTGTTGATCCAGAAGAACTGTGGTGACCACATCCCCAGGGCGTTGAACCACATATCGTCAAACTTTGTGTCCGCCATTGAGGCCAGGCAGCTCATGAGCTGGGGTCGGGACTGGAGGCGACCATTGGGACTCTTTGAGAGATTGAGAAATATACGAAAATGTGGCCGTAAAATAAAGGTGAGATTTACTTTAAAATGGACACCGTGCAATCTATTTTAGGAAACACAGCAACGCAACAAATTCTTTAAAAATAAACAAACTCGTTTTTGTGTTTCTTTGCTTCGCGGTGTGTCTAAGTGTGTCTAATTGTGTTAGCGTCAAGACGTCTTCAAATTCTCATCTTGAGAGACGTTTTCTTTCCCCCCTCAATAAATACGAATTTTATTTATTTTCTTCAAATGTTAATAAATAAGAGATTTATTTCTAAGACATTTATCAACAGAGCAATCAAAGATCATAGATCTATTTTTTGGTAAAAGATTGCTAAAAAGATCATTAAATTTCAGTAATAGAATGTTACCATTGATTGAGATTTTGAAGAATCAATCCCCACACCCCCCTCGCCCCTACGTGCATCTTGTTCAAACAAAAGTTCATTTATTTAAAGACCATCATCTGACTCAAAGTCAGTTTTGCAATCATAATCGCCTCGCCTTTATTTTCAACCAATAACCTAATAAGGGACCCCCCCCCCCACACAGGAGCTGCCCAGATTCATGACCCAACTTGATCTCTCACTAACCATATAAGGGACACAATAAATCTTCTACTATCAAATATAGGACACAATATAATATCTTCCACTACCATAATTGGGACATATTATCTCTTCCTCTACCGTATATGCCTCATACTATATCTCCCACTACCATATATGAGGACAAAACATCTCTCCCACTACCATATATGGAGCACAATGTCTCTTCCACCACCGTATATGGAGCACAATGTCTCTTCCACCACCGTATATGGAGCACAATGTCTCTTCCACCACCGTATATGGAGCACAATGTCTCTTCAACCACCGTATATGGAGCACAATGTCTCTTCCACCACCGTATATGGAGCACAATGTCTCTTCCACCACCGTATATGGATCACAATGTCTCTTCCACCACCGTATATGGAGCACAATGTCTCTTCCACCACCGTATATGGAGCACAATGTCTCTTCCACCACCGTATATGGAGCACAATGTCTCTTCCACCACCGTATATGGGACACACTAGGGGTTGGGGAAAAAAAACTGTCCTCTGGGCAAAGCCTGAATTGAGCCTCTCATTTCCAAGAAATTATTTATTCAATCAGATATTTTGCTTCAAGATTAGGATTTTGGTACACCCTTAAGTTGACATCCGGGGAAGGTGCCATCATGCCCCGCTTTAGCAAGACCATTTCCTCCCACTAACCGGAACATGACTCAAATTCTCATCACACTGACCATACACATCATGACCCCCATTTGATTACCACTTATCATCTAAGAGACACCGTATCTTACACACTATGCAGTTCGAGGTCCCCATTTCACCACCACTTATCTCTCCCACTCGGCACACACACAGACCCTCTCCAACTTATCATATACAGAGATAACCCCTCTCCCACTTACCATGTACAGAGACCCCCCTCTCCCACTTACCATATACAGTGACCCCCCGGCCCTCTCACAGGCCGCCTGGGCCGTGGACCAGTCGTAGGCCGTTTTCACGGGGACCAAACACTTGCCATCCTTCGGGAGGTTGATGCTGCGCTCGTGCGAGCACCGGTCGCCCACTGAAACAGAGACACAAATCTCGCGGCTAATGAGAATAGAAGCAACGTTGGACATGCCGAGGGCGTGTACCTGTGGGTGGTGTGGCGAGACACACACGTGCCGTGAGCGCCACGGGGGGGGGGTAGATGCAAAAATCATCAAACCGGGCAGCGATTTTTGAAAGCTCATTTTAAAAAAACATCGTTGACAGGGGCGTATTTTGGGCGACATAAGTCTTCGGTACGCCCCTGTGTACGTGGGATGTGTTTAATTTATAACACGTGAGCAGTGAACATTATTATTTTTCTATAAAGGTCATAATTCACCCCAATAAACGGATGCCGTTAAAGATCAGATATGAAACCACGACTGCTATAGAGATATAAAAGAAAATAATATTTCTTTTCATCGGCTCCTTTGCAATTCTTCGAAGGTTTAATCACACACACACACACCTCAGAGAATACATTCGTAATAATTAGTAGCTTTTTAGCAACAGGGTGTGTGTCTGTGTGTGTGTGTGTGGGGGGGGGAGATAGGTCTTAAAGTCATCTTAGTTAATCAAAATTTTACAGAAGAAAAAAATGAACCAGGTCTGAAAATTACTGGATTATTTTAATGACAATCACAGTTCGTTTGTTCAAGCATAAAAATGTACATTACATCAGGCTGGCGTGGAGCACAACCAATGCATGGTTCGGCTGTGTGTGCCAACATCCCTGACTGCGCCTTATTTGATCACGTAGAAATGAATGCGGCCCATTTGATTTCATAGAAATGAATGCGGCCCTCCACTATGAAAAGGTTCCCCGCCTATTTCCTAGTGCTTAGAGAAATATTCCATTGTTTACATACTTTTATTCCCTTTCTTATCCAGTGGAAATTTAATTGTAGATTTTGGACATGTACATTCTTCTATACCAAAAATATGAAATTTATAAAAAAACAAATCTCTATTGAAACATTTACAATATCTGTTTTCAAAAACACACGCACCTTTGCAGAACCTTGGCTGCTCTACACATTAACCAGCAATATAGTAAAAACATTTAAAAAAATAAACAACAACAACAACAATACTTGATTTTTATTTTTAGCTCAGATATTCGACCACATCACTGCCACCTGCCACCTTTGTCACCACCACGTACACTTGACAACAAAACTCGCAGCTCACCGTGCAGGTGCTTTACTCTCCTAGTGGAGATTGTTTCAATTCAACGAGAAACTAGGCTCTCAGTCAATCATTCAGAAACTAGGCTCTCAATCAATCACTCAGAAACTAGGCTCTCAATCAATCACTCAGAAACTAGGCTCTCAAACAATCACTCGGAAACTAGGCTCTCAAACAATCACTCGGAAACTAGGCTCTCAATCAATCACTCAGAAACTAGGCTCTCAATCAATCACTCGGGAACTAGGCTCTCAAGCAATCTCTCAGAAACTAGGCTCTAAATCAATCTCTAAAAAACTAGGCTCTCAATCAATCACTCAGAAACTAGGCTCTCAATCAATCTCTCAGAAACTAGGCTCTCAATCAATCTCTCAGAAACTAGGCTCTCAATCAATCACTCAGAAACTAGGCTCTCAATCAATCACTCGGAAACTATGCTCTCAATCAATCACTCAGAAACTAGGCTCTCAATCAATCACTCGGAAACTAAGCTCTCAATCAATCACCCATCATTCACGGATTCATGGCGTGCACACATGTCAGGTGTTACAAAGACGTTTTTAAAATAACAATGTATAGAAGTTTAACAAATACTTTTGTTTTTACTAATGTTACGTAACCCTTTATCTTGTCTCGTTGTTCTTTCCTTTTTCTTTCAATTAAAATAAATGTTAATTTCATGGATCAAATAGCTTTCAAAATAATAACAATTCAATAACTTTTCGATATGCTAAACATTTTTAAAAAAATTGGTACAAAACTTAGAATATACTCCAAAAGGTTTTTCTCCAAGGAGGTCCCACTCCAAGAAGCTCCTACTCTAAGAAGACCTTACTCCAAGAAGGTCCATTCTCTAACAAGGTCCTTCTCAAAGAAGGTCCTTTTCTTTACTTAACAAAATGTCGACCTGCCACGCCCTTATATTTCATAGCTTAGTTGTGATGGGAAAATATCTTAAAAGTAAGGGAAATTTAAGTTGAAACAAAATTATTTATTTTCTTTCGCATTTTATTCTGCCTATGAGATGAGAATGAATTCAGGTTTTTTTTTTTAAATCTGAGTTCGAAGTTTTAACTTCTTATAATTGGTCTCTGTTGACAAATTTACATAAACTTCTCTGATCAATGGCAGTTTGAATGTTTATACATTTCTTTTGCAACATGAAGGGGCCAAGCGATGGAGCAGGAAACTTTATCTCTAAACCGGGGTAGACGCTAACTTATTTGCTTGAGAAGCTTTGAGACTACCTCAACGTTCAGCAAGTATTTGCGTGGTCATCATTCTTTCCGTTCTATCAAAAGTTCTTACGATTCAAGCGTTTCACACAGAGCCAGACCAGTACTCACCCAACTCTTCGGGCTGACCGCCGACAGTGGCCAGGAGTAAGCAGGCGACAACTCCTATTCCCCAGAGTTGGCCCATCTCAGATGACCACATTAACCGAAAATCCTCAATGAAACACTCTCACAGCCAAAGTAAGTAGAATTCTTGACTTTAGTCCCTTTGAAAACGTTGACAAATTATGTTATCTGTATGTTGGCCTTAAAAATATTAAAGAAACACATTAATAGCTAGCCCGGGGATAGAAAAACTATGAACACATTTATATTCAATCGCAATTATCGAGACACAGTTTTCTTGATATTAGAAGTGTTTTCCGATTCATGCGACAGAAACACACGCGAGTACTATAACAAGTGAAGGCTAAACATTTTTAAAAAAAAAAATTTATCGTATATATTTTAAGTATGTGTTGAAAGTTTTTTTTTTAAATTTTGAATTTTCGAAGCTCTTCAACTGTCTTAAATGGCTAATATTGGCGAAATTCTATTTTTAAAAAATAAATAAATAATAATTATTGCATTGAAACTTCCATTTTTAAAAAAAAAATTTTGTTATTGAAATATTCAATTCGATTTAAATGTTGAAAAAATACATTTGGGAACGGATGATAGAGTTATGTCAAAAATCTTCTCTTGAAAACAAGGATGGGGCATTTATCATAAAAACGGAGCTTCTCAAGTTTAATAAAATAACAAAAACATGTATTAAAACTGAAAGGTAAATGCACTTCTGAAACTGTAAACAACGAGTCACAACAGCAAAGACGATGTTGAGCTTCAATTATTATTATCGTTTGAAAAATACCACAGCAAAGAACCATCACTCCATCTCCTTTCAAATGAACGGCCCAAAGTCTGCTCCCGGCGTCCCATAGGGAGACATGTTTGGGCTGCGCATGCGTAGGTCATACTGATGTCCCTTTGGTGGCGGTAACCTGCACCGTGTAGAGATGCAAATAGACCAATTCATGACGACTGAATCGCTAATGCGCAAATGGGAGGCTGTTGAACCAAAAAAAAAAATAAAAAAAAAAATAAATAAAAGCGTTCTTTTTCTAAAGGTGTGTTGCAAAGAAAGTTAAAGCAAACGCTACATTGGTACATCTTTAAATAGTACGATGGTTATATTTGATGCACGGTCTTCAGGGGCTAAGGGATGGTGTGGAATTCGGTAAATATAAAGATGGGCACAAAAGTCGTCTGTTGATGGAATCTGTCTATGAAACCAGAAATGTCGGCATACAGTAAAAAAATATTTAAAAATACATAAATTAAAAAAAAAATATCGATTATATATTATAATAGTAGTGTCAATCAATGACAAAGTCTCAATTTATACATCATGTACTAAATCTAAGGTTAAAAGGGGTGGGGTATTATAATATTAATATAGTTCAGGGGCGTAAAAATTGTGCCATGGCGTACCAGGGGTGGGTAGCACTAATTGTGATTCTCATAAAGTTCTTTTTGTCGAATGCATGTTCTTGTTAAGTAAATTTAGTAGAGTTGAAGTTAACGCATTGCCACCGCCATTGTTTTTGGCGGGCCAAGAACTATAAAGAGTAACAACAATATAAGATAAGAAGGAGCTAAACTCAGTGCCATCTTAAGGCATGGGCCCATTGGGCACTGGCCCAAGGCCTCACGCTTCTAGGAGGGTCTCACGCTTCCATGAGACTCACTCTTGTAGAGGCCTCATGCCTCATACATAATGTTAATGAAAATTGAAAGATTTTGGCAATTTAATTTGATATAAAAGTTAGTGGTCATCAAATTTCTCAAATTAAAATCACGATATTATCGGCACATTCCAAAATTAGTATAATAAATGCGAATCACAAGTTTGGTGGCTACTTCTTAAAGGGGAATAACTCTCCTCAACACGTTTATCTTTTCCAGATATGAATCGAATAAATATAGGAGGAATTTGTGTTTTACAATCATGTTAGACTAAAATGTTTGTCCTGGCCCAATAACACTAGCCGCGCCACTGCTCAGTAGTCATTGGTGAAATTAGAGGAGAAAGCTACTGCCGTCTGACGGCATGGGCAGACCTCGCACTTACCCGCGGAGTCTCACGTCTGGAGGTGGCCTCATGCTTGAGGGACCTCATGCCTCTAGGAGGCCTCATGCTTGAGGGGCCTCATGCCTCTAGGAGGCCTCTCGGCTCTAGAGGGCAGTACGCCTCTAGGGCGCCTCACGTTTCTATGGACATTATGCTTACAATATTATTGGTGAATATTGAAAGAAAAAAATTGGAAAAATATTTTTCTTTCAACATGAAAACGGCAAGAACGTTTCTCCAAATTATTTAAACACGTTTTTCGACCGTCACATCATTTCAAATTTATTTTTTTTTGGTACTAGCTTCAGAAAAAGTTTCTTTTAATAAATTATCAATTTGAACAAAAAAATCCAAAAATTATTTTTTCTTTGTGGTTTGTGGGGGGGGGGGTGTGGTTTAAGGGATAAGTAAATGAAAGAATCTTACAAAAGTCACCACATGTTCATTCTTTAGTATTGTAAATGAAGACAGTTATATTCGTTTCAAATTCCTAATAAACTTTTAAGGTACTGCATTTTTTTTTTGTGTGGAAATTCATCCTGTCTCATTTCCCCCCTCAAGATTTATGACATTATTAAATACATGACGTCTTTTGTAAATGTTTTTTTTTCTTCTTCCTTTTTATACCATTTATAGATAATTTAGTTTTAAAAAATTAACCTGCTTTTAACTAGCAATACATCATCTACGGACCTTTTTCTACAGAACTGTATGTTGCCTCATTTTTTGGTTGTTGTAATTTTACATTTGGGAAAACCTACTTAAGTTTTAGATTTAGTTTTGAATGGTCAGAGTTATGATTCTCAATTAGTTTGGTAATAAGTAGTTGGACTATACAGATTCTAGGGACGAAAATAAGCTGGGGCCAAAGGCGTATACCGTCAGGGGGCTCCACTACCAGAATGCATTTATGGTTATTTAAGGCGGTGGAAACGAAGTCAGACCTGACCCTGACCCTGAGCTTTAAAATTCTTAGTTTCGGTGCTAATATACGCTCTGCCCCCCTCCCCACGAACGCCTGAAAAACTCCCCAGTGTAAAAAAAAAAAAAAAAATTACCTGAAAGAAACTGGTCAGAACACGAAGACCAACAAAGGCCATGATGCTTTTCATAACATTACTTGACCAGTCGGCTATGGACAGTCGTTCCCAGGAGAAGCGGTTCCCATGGCGCACTAATAAGACGATTCTGCCGCCCCTGTCTATGTGAAGTACATGGGATTTTATCGTTGAATTCACAATTAAGGACCTATCTTAAGACGATTTTGCCACGCATGTTATTGCCGTCAGGGGTGATTGGCCCTCTTGACCCCTCCTTAGCACGGCCCTGGGTGTACCGACGGAGAGAGGCCTCAGGGCATTACTGTGCCCATGGCCTCCGCTGCTGTAAAGACGGGCCTGGCTAAAGTGACCTGGTCACGCTGGTTACAAAAGCACACAACATAACATTTCCTATAACTGCACAAAACAGTGTGTGCATTCAATGGTGTGCAATGGGCGCGAACACTAAAATTCCTCCACTAAATAGATTTCTTAAAATCATAATGATAGAAATGTATGCTTTATCAATTTTACCAAAGTCGAATCAATTTTCAATTTAAATCCGACAAAATAAACATGCTTAGCTTATATGTAGGCCTAAATATATGTCCATTACAAGGTAAGTATTATTATTATAAATAAGAAAATAATTAAAACAATAATTAAAGAATGATTTAAAGAATTTATCTGAATGTGAGAATTGAAGTGTTTAAAAAAAAAAAAATACAATTTCGAAAGACAAATTATTATATCCGATTTAAGGGCTTTCCCGAAGTGCCTATTTTTAAAACTTTGACACAACAATACAATACATTTGTGTATTACTAATAAATATTCCATTGAAGGCAATAATTTTAAAATAATAGTAGTTAAAGTATTAGTATTAACATCAGTTTGAGAAGGTATTTTGTATAAAGAGAATTCTATTGAAAATATATCTTTAATTAAAATGTACACATCCTTTTCATCCCATCACATTATTGCTTTAATTCTAAGTTAAGACAATCTTGTACGTATGATCCTATAATTAAATCTAAATAGCCTACGTGTTAATGGATCAAAGGACCAACAAATGAAATTTGAGCTATGCATTTTACCATTTTATGTTTTTACGTGAAGGAAATTGGGTTTTTGGGAGAGGGTTTCAACTTAATATCAATTGGAAAAAAAAAGGGGGAGGGGTATAGGCCAACATAATATCAATGATCAACATTTCAAAACCTGATCAAAACCAGATTTTATCTGTTGTTGTATTTTACTCTACAAATAATAAATATACTACCTGAAAATATGGACACATGCGTTGCACGATTACTGAAAAATAAAATGTAGGTAAAATTGGGTGGACAAGATAGGTGCCAGTCCCTCAGTATGATTGGGCGCATTCTATAACTATATTGACTAGTCTATAGCAGTATCTCAAAGTAAGCCGAAAAGGCACGGCTAAAATAATGAAATAATGTATATCATTATCTTGTATTTAATCTTCTCCAGAGATGCCAGAGAACACATTTCAGTCAGTGACAGGACAGAAGGTGTGGATATTTTTAAGGACATTCTAAATCGATTAGACTATAATACGGACATTTCATAATATAGGTACAATTTAAATGCACCTTTTATGGATGGTTGACTTTGAATTGTTTGTGATTCATTCATCATCGACGCCATCATCATTCATTGGCAACACAGCACTGCTACATTTACATTGCCTACACTACAGCTGTTCGTGGCATATCACCACTGGTACCACAATTATTCGTTCTTTAGACTTAGACTACACAATTCGAAAGAACGTTAGAGCCAGATGTTCGTAATTGTGGTTCAATCTGTTTAATTAAGTCCAATCGAGAATAGTATCCTCTGGTCGTAATAGCGTCAATATAGTTGCAACAAAATCTAAAAAAGTTAGTAGTTTAGATGGGAATCGACAAGAGGGGCTGTAGCTCAAGTGGTAGAGCGCTCGCTTAGCATGTGAGAGGTACAGGGATCGATACCCTGCTGCTCCATTTTTTTCTTTTTGGCACGACAGGACGAAAACTTAGACTACCTCAGCATTCACTTCCGGCTTTCTACATTGAAGACATTTGACTCAACATTAATTTGAGACGCATCTCAGTGGCATGTCACACACTCTCATAATCTCACGTTACTCACCAGTAAATCAACACGAAGTCCTCACCACACCCGACCCACTTCTCACCACACCCGACCCACTTCTCACCACACACACCCCTCTTCTCACCACACCCGACCCACTTCTCACCACACACACACCTCTTCTCACCACACCCAACCCACTTCTCACCACACCCAACCCACTTCTCACCACACCTAACCCACTTCTCACCACACCCAACTGACTTCTCACCAC